AAGTCACAACCAGAGACGAAAAATCGTGCAATCAATCAAGCAGATCATCTCCATCATCTCAATTTCGATTTCCAGAAGGTCCGAAGTTACATGCAATGAAAAGACAGCGAACAGTTGTCTCATAGAAGACCAACAAGAAGCATTCGTCATCCATTCGGCTGATTTAACATGTGTTCAGTAATCTAAAGAGTAATTCCACAGGGGAAATATTCTTCAATAATTAGTGTCCCCTGTGTTGTCAGTTATCAGTCAAGATCAGGGGGGTTGATGGGGCTTGAATAATTAGCACGCAACAGGATAATCTGATCATGGCCAATTACCCGAGGGCTCCGGAGGAGGGTGATGGCTATTCTGATGACACTCATAATAGGTTCAATGCATAGGGGACACGTGGACATACACAGACGGGTATTTAGTGTCAAAATAGATGTCTGGAGACTTTGCATATGGAAATTGCAGTGGACGATCCTATCGTTTCAGAGAATGACTCTGAAAATTGTCAGTGGAGAACAAAAGCTGTCTGGAACGCAATTATTCCGGAATCATTTCGCAAATGGATATATCTGCGGATTTTCGTGCATCGCTTCGGCTCGGCTCATTTCAATCACCTTTTCTTCTAAAATCCCATGACAATCGTTTTTATTCGCCCGCAGATACACATCACGAATGTGACTGACGTTCGTTGCGAATGATACGAGTAACGAATACGTGTACTGTCACCCGCATCATCGGTAATGGAAAAAATTGATGAAGAGAATATGAGAGTAAAAAATTGATGGTCGGATGTGTGTGGAGCCATCAGCATACAGAGTAGATACTGAATAAAAAGTACTCACTGACACAGAACTGAACAATGCGGACGTTTATCGCACTTGACATATATATTTTCTACCTTAAAATTAAAACCAGGATTTTTTTCATTAATGACAACACGTGTGGCTGACAGTGGTGGGTTCATTTCCACATGGAGAGAAATTTTTGATAAAAATTATCCTACCGTTCTATACAAGAGTATCATGAGTCATCAAAAATAATAATTACCGTGCCGGTAGAGTAAAAATTACTGTGCCGGTAGGGTAAAATTTACCAATTTACCATTTGGGTGTATTAAAGAGATCATCGCGTGAGAAAAATGGAAAAACTTCCTTTTTCGTTTCGAAATATTAATAGAAATTTCCCTTGACATTTGGCCCACTTCGACACTGTGAAGATGCCAAAGGAAGATTTCCTCGGATTCATACCTTCACTCTGATAATTATCCCTTCGATGTGAGCCGCTAACTCGTCATCTAATTGGCTGCACTCTGTAATTAATCATCAGCTTCACAAACTTCAATAATTAGCAATGTCTCCAGCATCGGATGCTTATCAAGCCAACTTGGAAACTTGAAATTATCAGTACATCTGCGATGAATTCATCCACACGTGAAGTGCCCATTAATGTTAAGCTGTATTGAAAGCATTGAACCCTTCGCCAGCGGAAATTCCGCTTCAAGTATTATATAAATTCACTTCTACATCCACTCGACAATTGCGCCAGATACGTTTTGAATGCCAGTTACTACGGATTTTCGCTGAACGGCATTCAACTGTGCAACGCCCGCATTCTCCTTATTCGTTATACAATTGAGTTGAATCCAGTCGTCTGGAAAATATACATTTAAATTGTGCTCAATTACTTTGGTTCAGAGTTTTCAATTTGACGGCAACGGTTTGTTTCAACTCAAGTGTAATTTCGTCGATCAGGTAAATAACGACGGAAATTCACTTGAAAAATGTGAAAATGGCACGAAAAGCCTGTAGCTCAGTCAATTAAATTAATTTCAGCTTTTCCGCATTCAATTCAGCTGACAAATTTGTTTGTGAAGAGTACAATCGCGACCTTTTTGGGGTCATTTATCATCCGTTATTGTTGTTATCGTTTTTACACAAATTATTGGAGATATCTACCCCTCCGATCGCGACGCCTCGTGCAAAACGTCAATTTTCAACCCTCCGCACGCCGAGAAAATTTGCCATTAATAACAACTCGAGAATAAATTTTTCAACGCAAAACTCCATTATTCTGATCAAATCTCGTAGAGAGCTTGCTGATAATTGATGAGAATCGATAGCTGTTGTGAAGTGGTGATCGGGAGATAGAGCAGCCGAGAATAATTTCATGCTTATTATTTTACGAATTTCTATAAAAAAATATATCCTCATGAATGTTTATAAGTCCTTCTCTCCCGAAAATAAGGATCAAATTTCTGTTCCCGAAATAATGATTGAATCTCTTTGTTCTGGATTCAATCGCTCTTGTCACTTCACTACCGCTATATTCCGGGAATATAAATCGAAAAGACTCATTGTATTTTTAATCTGCGGTTCGCAAATGTTTGAGATCGAATGACGATTTGCCTCTATCAGGATGTGATTTTGATTGGAGAAAAGGAATCCGGGAAGAGCCGTTGATAAACATCGACTGTAGTGATTGATTACACACTAGCACGTAATTATACACGGGGAAATTCGAAATATCGGAGGGTCGCGCTGATTAGCGGTTAATTATCGCAATCAGATGATATCCATTGAGCAGTTGCGGAAGAGCTTGCGTGGGCGGCTCAAGTGCCATCCACGATGCTAATCACTCAGGTGGAATAAATTGTTTTCAACTAGTACCAAAATACCTCGATTGCTCTCCATTCAATTGATCAAATTCAAATTAATGAGGCGGTATCGGGAATGAGGGGGCGACAAGGGGAAAAAATTGATGAAACGGTACATTCTAATTTCCGAAAATTGTTTGTTATGCGAAACAAAATTTCTTTTTTTCACCACAAATGCAGTTGTTGTTTGAACCCATGGGCTCATGTGAAAGAAATAAATAGAAATTTTGTGGAATCATTTAATTCCTGTTAATTAAATGCATTTCATAAAATTGAGGGTTTTTTCGAGCTGACCGCACTCAGAGAGAATAGCAGGTTTAACTTTTATTTAATGCAAGTGGGGCATTGTTCGACATGCAGTTGAATACCTCTGTGATTTACCAGAGGAAACATCGAGTTAATGAAGGGGAATCATATATCAATGGGCGGTATTGCGTTTGTCCGTAATTTCACGTTAACCTAATGGATACGCAGATGGGTATACTGACAAGAGATGGTGAGATATGGGGTGGGCATGCGTACGACAATGGTGCAACCACGGTGACCATCATCCTTCACTAATTGGAGTAGATATCATATTCGACGCGAGCATCGCATTCCATTGTTCACGGGGAAAATTTTATTTATATATGTGACAGGCCTTGGAGCTTATTATTTTGGTCAAAATGGACACATGCTTCAACAAGTGTCCCGCATCGATAAATTTGCACGTCGATGGTGAAAACATTGATGAACATTTCCTGGTTCACTTGACGTTTCACCTTTCATCCCGGCATTTTTAATTTTCGAATGGGGAAAAAGCTTCGAGTTCACTGCATACAATTGTCACTCGAATAAATGAACTTCTGGATCGCATTTTCTAGTGCCGCCAGTCACATGCCTTTTTTCATCCGCCCACTGATGGCTTCTGTACGAGGTTTCCAACTCTGAAAATTCCAACTGTCGAGCCCCAGTATCGACGAGGGAGTTATTAAACGGTTCCATCGTTTTTCATAACCCCGTAAAATTTTTCGACTATTGTCATTTCCCTCTCGTATTATTAAAAAATGCCTCGTGGAGAAATGTGGAGAATGATGAAGACAGCTAACCGATGCAATGGTGAATTCAATACCCAATTATTCATAATTTTATTGCAAGCATCCAGTGCGCTCTCCAATCAGAATAAAAAAAAATCCTCTTAACAAAAAAAATCACATCGAAAATTTCATCAAAACTTTTTATTTGCGATTGAACAATCGGGTGATGTCCAGTTTTACCCCAACATCGGAAAATATAAATTTTCATTTTTACACATGTCATAAATTTTCTAAATACTATTGCAGGTGTCCATTGTTTCAGAACGAGCATAACTCCCCTCTCCACCCTATCATCCCTCCACACCCACTCACGATCTGAAAACAGAACCATTATATAAGCTCCACTTATCCCAACAAAATCCCTCCACCACAGTGTCCATGAATTTTACATAATAAACCATTTGTAAAATGGAATAGCTCAGTGAAGTAGCGCAATTTCTACTCAACAGGAAACGTGACTTTATTTATTCTAGAATCAGTGTATGTGTACTTACCACCAGCATTCCGCGGATCGTTCGGCGTAATTGCACCGGCGCTTCTTTCTCTCCCTCTCTCTCTCTCTCCCTTGCATTCTCTTCCCCCCGTCAGTGGGTGCTCCTATTGAGGTGTACACGGCGCCAGTGGCGGTCGAGATAAAAATACACGGACGATCTTCAAAATAATAAAGAAAATAGAGTAACTCCTAGGGCGATAGTAACGGGCAAGCCGACACTTTAGAGATGAAAATAATACAGGAAAAGCGAAACGGATGTTTTCTACATTCATTATAGCTCCTCTGCCACTCGTCGACCCACGTTTCAACGCACTGGGAGAGTCCGCACTGACCACCAATTACGTGATTACTAACGCGCACCGGTAATTGCGGGGATCGTCGGCCGCACGACCTTGAATGCATTCCATAACGATAATTGCATTTGTCCACAAATAACGTTGATGCATTGAGTGTTCAGCATTCATAAACTTCTAGACTTCTGAATGATTATATGTTGGGTGAGGGCGAGTTTTTTTTTTCAAGCTGATTGATTCTTCCGTGAAACTGCAAACGGCGATTGATCGAGATCGGCAAGATGAATTGAAGAGGGATTTTTTATTTACGTAGTTCCAGGTAGCTCAGTTGGGAGAGTTCCCGTCGCGTAACTGGGAAACCCGGAATTCATTGAGTTACGATAGAAATTCAATAGAATTTCTCAGCGAAAGTGCTAGGTTTTTTTTTCTCAGTAATTCTTTCAAGTGTCTTCGAACACAGAGAAGAAAATAATTTATTAATTTTGTTTCAGTGACGTCTCCCTATCGCCAAGTGTAAGCCAATGGCTAAGGTCTCCCGCCTTCGATGTTGGCCAGTGGAAGGACGAGGAGTTGCTCCTAATGTTACAGACAATGTTCGTTGAACTTGAATTACTCGAGAAGTTCGACATTCCATTGACAACACTCCGTAACTTTCTGTACGAGGTCTATAATAATTACAATGCAGTGCCGTTTCACAACTTCCGACACTGCTTCTGCGTCGCTCAAATGGTAAAGATGGCCAACAATATCTTTTAAATATGCTCAGTGTCCTCCAGGGATATGAAACATTCGGCCAAAATATGGTACCGTATTTCAAGATGTGAAATCCCCTAAAAAATCTACTTGAGGGCAGTAGAAGGGTTTCTAACGGTTCAATATCGAGATTCAAATTGAGACTTGCAAAGTTTGAATAATAAAATAATCGTAAAATATGCGGAAACTGAGGGCCAAATGAAGTGTTTTTCTCGAAAAACGCAACAGTTTTTTTCCCGAGGTGACCCTCCCCTTAACTGGAGTTCTAAAAGTCTCGACTTGAGATCATAACTCTCAAAATGAAGCTCGTTTCTTTCCGTGTCGAGCGACGACTCGAAATTCCCAAAGTTAATTAATCCAATTGTTCTGTTCTGTTCTGTTCTGTTCGATTCAGATGTACGCCATAATCTGGGCAGCAGATCTCCTCTCAAAGATTGGACACCTCGAAGTACTAGTGTTAATCATATCGTCCATATGTCATGATCTCGACCATCCTGGTTACAACAATATTTATCAGATAAATGCACGCACGGAGTTGGCACTGCGGTACAACGACATCTCACCCCTCGAGAATCATCACTGTTCAGTGGCATTTAGGGTATTGGAGTATCCCGAATGCAACATACTAGCTGCTCTCGATCCTGCTACATTTCGTACTGTGAGAGAGGGAATTATCAGGTGTATTCTGGCCACTGATATGGCGAGGCATAATGAGATACTAGGACAATTCACTGAGTCCATTCCGGAGTTTGATTATGCGAATAAGTCTCAGATTAATCTGGTAAATGGATTTGAAGTACTTGTTTGGTTTAAGTTGTAGTTGTGTTGATATTATTTTGTTGATGTCCCGGGAAACCGTGCATTTAGGGAGATTTGGTGAATTTTGATTATTTTATTTCCCCTGAGTATTTTAGTGCGATAAAATTAATTACACATCGCAAATATTCGGTTAAAATCAATCAAATTGTAACCGAATATTGTCCTATCGGCCGGGGTCAATGCATGGTATCGAGCCTCTCCGTCAACAGTAAAAAATCATTTTCTCGAATTCTAAGAGACATATTGACACTTGGAAAAGATATTTGGGAAGTCAATGAAAATGTCTCTGCAGTTATTTATTTATTTATTTACTGCACCTTATAGTGTTACACATTGAGTACCTCAATTGGTACCTAAATATTTGGTAGCTAAAAGAACAATCTTATCAGCAAATCCGAGAACAATTCAAGCGGCAGAAAAGATTTCCTCCTCGACAGTCTCAGCAAAGTTGTCACTTGAATTCTTTCAACCCATCCAATTGTAAAATCCTCGTATGGCCCTGATAAAGTGTCTTTTTCAGCTGTCGATGGTGTTGATAAAAGTCGCTGACATAAGTAATGAGGCACGTCCAATGGAGGTTGCGGAGCCCTGGCTGGACCAGCTCCTGCAAGAGTTCTTCAAACAAAGCGACGCAGAGAAGCTCGAGGGATTACCAGTGACGCCTTTTATGGACCGTGATAAAGTTACGAAGCCCTCGTCACAGTGCAGCTTCATTGGTCTCGTACTTTTACCACTCTTCGAAGCACTCGGTGAACTATTGCCCGAGCTGGAGGTAAAACCCCAATATTTCTCACGTTTATTTCGTTTGTCATGTTTTTACCCTCAATATCAAAATTGTGGGATCGTTAACTTATTGAGATATCGCAGTTGGTGTGAAATTTCATGCTCTTAATTTTTGCAGCCGTAATTTTATGGATTCGAGAAAAATTCTTTAGAAAAAAGTTGCGATGAAATTCTCCATATAATTGAATGAAATGCTCCACGTCTCTCTCACGTTTTATCACATTTTTCGCCTCGATAAAAAAGTTATAGAGATTTGAAATGATTGTTATGTCATAATCGAGACATTACTTTTTTTGATAACTAACAACATCCATAAACCCCTTGCCGCAGTTTGTGAACATGACCTAACAGTACCTAGCTAACTTTTTTACTACCTCCCCATCCTAGAACATTTACAATCCTTTTCGCACCCTAGTACCTTTTGTGTCTATATTTTACGTGCAAGGCCTTCTCATAAACTCAAACTTCATGTTCCGGAAGCTCAAGATTATCCCGAACAAGGATAAAGTTCAAAATTCTGCATTGTAGTTATAGAACATATTGTTTTTGATGACACCTGCAATTTATGGCTTATAATAATATCAAGAACTGGTCATTATAGATGAAAATAGCAGATAGCTTTCTAAGGCACTACAGCATCTTCTAAACAAGTGGACTAATGGGTTCTCTTTTTTAAATATTTAGTACTTTCATCTATTTCTTTCGATATTATAAAAATCGAAATCGACTTCCGGTGATAAAGATGTGGTACTAGAAATTACGACTCCAAAATTGAGGGTTAAAAATCGAGGGTCTAATTAGGAGTCATGGGAGTCCCCTAGTTCATGAAAAAATTCATGAAATTCGATTGACCCCTTATAATAAAATTTCGAAAAAAAATACAAACATACAGCCACATTTGGTCACCCTAACACGAAGCTTTCAAAGCTTCCATTAGAAAGCAACACCTTACCATTCCCCCGAGAAAAGAAAATGAGAAGTGGACTAATGGGTTCTCTTTTTCAAATTTTTAGTACTTTCATCTATTTCTTTCGATATTATAAAAATCGAAATCGACTTCCGGTGATAAAGATGTGGTACTAGAAATTACGACTCCAAAATTGAGGGTTAAAAATCGAGGGTCTAATTAGGAGTCATGGGAGTCCCCTAGTTCATGAAAAAATTCATGAAATTCGATTGACCCCTTATAATAAAATTTCGAAAAAAAATACAAACATACAGCCACATTTGGTTACCCTAACACGAAGCTTTCAAAGCTTCCATTAGAAAGCAACACCTTACCACTCCCCCGAGAAAAGAAAATGAGAAAATCACCGTCTATTTCAGGACATGATAGTCCAGCCGGCCCGTGACGCCCTGGAGTACTACCGGCGGCTGAACGAAGCCGCAAAAGACGAGCGTCACCACCGCAAGAGTGTGATCGATCTGGGCGAATCGACGCCCTCATCAGCGCCCTCTAGCACCGCGGCGTCGTCAGTCATAAAGTCCGCCTCCTCCCACAGCATGCGCTCCAAGCGATCAGCCAGCACCATTCGCTCACGCTCGCGTTCCATCGAGGACGAAGCAGAGAACAATCTCCTCGAAGAAGACGCCGAGAACCCCGAGAGCTCGGACCCGGAAACGGCGACGGAAGTCGAAGTGAGTGAGAAAACCTTGAAATTCAAAATCTCCACAGAGGGCAACGTTCCGCCGCAATCGGGTCGCAAAAGCTATCCGGGCAGCAGAAAGGGCAGTCGTGAGAAGTCTTCCTTCGACTATCACCACCACGACCTGGCGAAGGCTGTCAGAGATCATGATAGAGAACGGAAAAAGAGTCGAGGTGAAAATTTCTCTAGCGACGTGTCCTCTCCAGTGAGCGCTAGATCGGGCGAGGACACGAGGATTCTCGAAGAATTCGAGAGGGACGAGGTGATGTACATCGACGGGAGAATCGAGGAGGAGAGAACCGAGGGCAACGGCACCATCATCGAGACCATCCCCGAGCGAATCAACCCGAAGAAGCGGCCGAGCTTCGACGACAGAGACAACAGACCTCGTAAAGACGTCGTCGTGATGACTGAAAGCGGCTTGCGCTGCTGTTGCGATGACAAGACCACCTCCAACAACCACAAGTCCCTTCTTTCGAGACTGCGAAACTTCACAGACCGCCTCAGCATTAGCTTCGACTCCAAAGAGCCACCTGTTTCAAAACCGACGAAGCACGTCCCAAAGCCCTTCATGAAAAGTAACTCAATCGTATCTGGCTCAACATCCCGTCAGACGCCTGTTCATCTCTGCAAGCGTTGCAACCTCATGAAGACAGTCAAAGAGGCTAAAGACCCTAATCAAACCGTTGTAGAACTTCTGGAGAAGCGTGCTATGACGCTGCCTAAGGTCAGAAAACACGAGGGTAAGAACAAAAGTTGGAAAATGGTGTTCGCCAAGGAGAAGCGGCCATCGGCTTCTCTCGAAGTGCTGCCAGCCCACGATACTGAGACTGCTGCTATCAAGCATAAACGGAACCTCTCGAATCCGGAGAGCAAATTGTCGGTGACGAAGACACAGAGTTTGAAGGAAGTCAAGGATCAGAAGAGATTGAACTTCAAGGAGATCGAGGTGAGGAGCAAACCCCGGCCAGAGATTGTGGTGCATCCTGGAAGTTCGAATGTCGTCGATGAGGATATTGAGAGGGTGGAGATCAGAAGGAGCTCGGCTAGCATGGAGGACATCTCCAAGATCACTAAGCAGAACGAGGGCATCCTCCTGGGAACGTTGGAGGACAAAAAGTGCGAGGAGATGCACACGGGGAGTCTTGACTCCATGTTGTACAAGGAGTCCGCCAAAGACGTGAAGAAGGGCTTTGCTTTTGCCAGCCCTTGCAGCACGAAGAAGGCGTCACCGGGGCTGTTCTCGAGGTTCAGGTCGGGCATGAGCATCGATGGGACTAGGTCGAACAGCAATAGTGGATCTCTGCATGATCAACCGACGCAGGGTGGGTGGATCTCGTCGTTGACCGCTAGCTTCAGACCCAAAAGGCAGGTGGGGGAGATGCCGGCTTCACCGGGACATGAGGAGGTCAAGTGATACGTTATGATTGTGAATAGCAAAGGTGAGGGGAGGAGTCACTGGAGCGAGTGGTGGGCACAACGGTTACCTTGCTGCAGTGGGTGAAGGAAATTCTTTATTTATTATTCTGGGGGCTGACATCTTTGCGATTCATGAGAGGGGCAGTGGGACTGAGCTTCCAATTTTTGATTGATTGATTGGTTGGTTGATGAACGGGGAAAATGGTTGAGAATTATCCTCGTTAAAAGGGATGGTAAACACGGGGGATATCTCGAAGGAATGGAGGGAGCAAGGCTGTATTCATGAGCACAATAGCCTGCCTCGAGTTTTCATGAAGCCCGAAACATGAATAAATAATGGGTAATTGCTCTGATCATTTAGGTCAATGACGAATAGAATGATCCAACTCTCTTAATGGTGCATTTAGTAGAGATCTCTTCAAATAAATATGATTGGAATCATAATAGCTAAAAGTATGAGGTTACGGAATGTTTCGGACGTTAAGGATGAACCGGCGAGGTAAAAAAATGTAGCCAATTTTGGGAATTCTTTATAAATTTTTTAATATTAAAATCTTTTATTTTTAAATGTGATCTAAATGTTCAATTAAAAGAGACAGATATTTTTGTTCAGGCATTGGTTTTCTGCAGGAATACAATAGATTCCATCCGCGTCACCTCCGACATTTAGTCATCGCCGGTTCATCGTTAAATGTAGAAGAATCTGAATGCAACACAATGAAAATGATAATCCATTTTTTATATTGAACAAATAATAAGAATATATAAATTATGAAGCATGAATTTACATAAGAAAATATAGAATTTGAGAGGAAATGGGTGAAAGAGAAGGCATCAATGATGGCGCTAGTTGAGAAATGAAGCAGAAGAATTTTAGGTTATCGATGGATCATTCTGAGAATATTGAAAAGACTTCTAGGTTTGTCTTCATCACTTCAAGATAAGATTAATCAATCAATCAATTAATTAAATGACAGATTTTGTTGTGAATCTTCTTGAGGGAGTGACACATTTTCATTGATGAATTATGTAATATCGATGATTACGAGAGAATTCTTCGATTAATAATGATGAAAACTGGAATTCTCAATCGATATCAATTAATCTCGAAGCCGCGTCTGGCATACGGTTGAATACGTTGAATGATTTTATTTATTGTCCACCTTACGATTAACGTAACGAGTAATTATTAATGTTGTTCGTTATGCATCATTAAAAGAATATATATAAATATATATGAATATAAATATTAAAGGTTTAGTATATATTTATATATATGTGAATTGAATGGAGAAAATTGCCGTTAAAAAAACGTATAAACATGCATATACACGTATACATCTATATCTACGGTAAGTATAACGGTAGGTCAATGAAGGATTTAATAGATATATTGATTGTAATTACAATTGTGACGAACAAAAAAACAAATCAAGAAATGTGCTTCTTTGGACCACAGTATTGTTATCATATTCTCCATTCTGATAAATTACATGTAGTGCAAGCAGAAATATGAAAAACAGTATTCAGAAAAATTATTCTTCCAAGGGGAGGTTCACCCCGGAAAAAAAATTTCTCGTTTATCGAAAAAAAAAATTGAAAAATAACATTTTCCGCGCGATTTTTCCTCAGAAAGCTGATTTTGTAGCTCCACTCAACAGCGGAGAATCGAATTTCTTTGAAAAATCAACTTTACAAAAATCGCCAACGTCTTTTTTTTAATATTTTTTTTGTCTCACTCGGCCATTTTCAATACTAGTATTCACCAATTCGATATTTGGATGAATGATTTTTCTGGATAAATCATCAAAAATACAAAGCAACCTCATCGTATCATTGAAAAAGCCGAATAATCCGCTACTCAATGATAATTGCGCACATTCTTCACCGAAAGGGGAAAATCAAATAAGTCTGTCTCATGCGCAAATTACTATTCAATCATTATTTCCGTATAATTACTGTAACGATTAAAGATCAAAACCACGAGTGTAATTGTTTTGAATGTTACGATAAAACAAAAAAAAATGAGAGAAAAAAATCATGTAGTTTACCTATAATATCTAATAGTGTCTGTTTCGATGAATTCGTGTAGAGATATCGCTATTTAATTAATTAGCAGGAGGAGCATATTGCGAAGAAACCATTAGAAAGAATTTTAGTTCATGAAAGGGGGGGAGGGGAGCTTATTCTGAATGAATAACTTTCAACGATCCATCAGAACAAACTGTCACTGATTTACATTCTCAAACGATTATCACGCCTATGATTTTTAGATGTTTATATTTTTATACTTCACCACTGTTTTCTATACGGCGATTAAACCGCATGTATTGTTGAACTCTAGTCTTACGTTTATTGTGTTTTATTCCCAATACGGATTGGGCATTTATGTCGTTTTTTTTTCGCTGACAAATTCTGTTTTTAATTTTAATTATTGCGATTGTCATTTTGACTCGATTCAGTGGAGAAGTGAAAGATGGTGATAAATTGATCAAGAATAGATTGATCATTGCAGTAATTTTTTCTGGAAGAAGGAATTTAGAGATGATTGTCTCAAAATGCCATTTGTTTGTCATCTTCTATTCTTGATCATTTTTATACTGAATTAATCGACGATTTTTCCATTATTTTAAATTATTCTAGAATTCGTTACCACGTGTTATCCACAAATTTTTCCGCCTCGATTGAATAATGAATAAATTGTTACTATCGCGTGATACTCAATCGTAACAAATCTTGAATCTTGCGACCAATTTTTCCAAACGTTAAAGTGTACTTCTCTTTTAAATACAAAATAATTCGAATGAATCATTATAACTGAACTGTTAATGAGTGGAATATTTTTATGGCGTTTTAGTAAACGCAGATATCGTTTGAATTATATCCTGAAAAAAAAAATTAACCAAAAACTTCGGGTTTAGAGTAAAATCAAATGATGTCAATGTTACAAATGAGGCAAAACTGGAAGAAAGGACAAAAAATACATGAAGAAACAAAATGAACAAGATAATTATATAAAAAAAACACTACCTGTGCCTGATGTTTGTCATTTATTTATTTTAATCTCTTCCTATTTACTAACTCTACTTGAATATGGCCTAAAGTGTTAACGGTGTTCTCGCTGGCGTTAATTCAACCTGAGTATTCATTATCCCAGTGAGTGAAACAATTCCAAATACACAGATGGCAAAATTTATGGAAAATATATATTTAATTGAGAGAAAAAAAATGATCCTAAGTGTGATGGAATTAAACGTATCAATGAATTTTTGACTTTTATGAGGAAAAGATGGTGGTGACATGTCATAACATGATGATGACAAAACAACGGCACTGAGCGCAAAAGTTTACGATCTAGAAAAAAATTACGACTTTACACACTTGTAACACAATTTACTTTTTGGAATTCCGGTCATAAGCCCACGTTTTACGGACGCTACGTTACAGCCGTTATGACAAAAAATATTGTTCGTCATGGCTTAAAAAAACTTTTCTAGCTCATATGATTGTAACTCATATTCACCAGAATTTTTTTTTTCGGTCTAATAACGAAATAGTATGTTTCGACACTAGGCCGTAAGGAACTTTTCTGGTGAATGAGGTTACAGGACGAGCCGAGGCGACCTCTGTAATCATATGAGATAGAGAAGTTCTTTTACGGCCGCGTATCGAACGATATTTTTTATCATTAGGCCTGAAAACAGCGGTTTACCGAGTCCAGTGACAAAATAGGATATTTCGATACAAGTACGGAAAAGTGTTTTTTTCCTCGTGGGAGGTTTATAGCACGAGCCGATGGGGAGTGATATAATCCCACGAGGCAAAAACACTTTTCCCACGGGTATCGAACGATACTTTTCATCACAAGTGAAAAAAATTTCACTTTACGCACAAGTGATTAAAATAAGATTTTACATACCTGTGGCTATTTTTCCAAGATATTCTGCTGCAGAATTCAATCCTCAGCTATTTTGGAGTATCATAATATTGTCAAAATGATGTTTTTACATGGAACCACGTCAATAAATTTATGTACTAGATGTTTTCACGTCTGAATTTCCTCTTCAACCTGACTGCACTTTGCCATTGATAGATGGACGGTGGGAGGGTGGAGTCTGTGATTTGCCGGGGCGGGGGGAGGGATGGAGTAGAAGGAGAAAATTGGATCGGCCTCTGACGAGTTGGCAGTTTGAATTGAATTGAATTGAATTTAACGAGATGACTATTCGAAAAATTTTCGATATGTGCTAATCGTACACACAGCGATAAAAAACCATACCGATAAAATCTAACGGCCGAAATGAAATGTGTGTATAAATTGGTTGAACGGAAAAAACTCAGATCCATCGTACGTGGATCGTGAAATATCATTTATTGGATAACACATGAAAATCTCCGTAATTATAGATATATTTAATATAAATATACATATTAAATGATATACACGAATATATAGTGATTAAGTGGATAAATGATGATTGGAGGAGTCAAGAAATTCTACCTAACTATTGAAGTAATTATTAAACGTAATTAATCCGTATAATTGTTCCGCTTGCTGGCGAGCTGACGATTATTTGATTGTATAATAACTTCTTGTGGTCCATGGATATATTATTAACGTCAGGGGGGGAATGACGAATCATTATTCAATCGAATGACGTTTCGATTTATTGAGACTAATTGTTGGGAGGGGAGATAGAATTTTTTTCGGTGGAATACAACAATCATAAATTGTAGATTAAAATGTTTCACTGACGATTTCCAAATTTTGAAGGACGGTATTGGATTTTTTTCCGATTTTCTATGTGATCCGGAGTTGAGAGATCAATAAATTTTATGAATGTTAATGTGACAGCACAAAATTATGATTTAACATCACATTGGTATTATTGTATTTAATCACTGATTTATGTAATGATTCGGAGTTTCTGGGAATCAACGCCAAAGAGTTGAAGAATATTATAATGAGATTCATAAATTACGACATTTGTAGTTCATGACAGCTCTCGTTATCTCATTATTTTATTTCATTCGGTTTATTCAACGGAGCTGAATGAACAAATGCACGAGAAATAAAAGTACCATCTTTAATTATAAGTATAATAACGTAATAAAAGTGTATCATTGTGAGAAGAAAAAAATCATCTACAACCTGACTAATAGTTTCTTTTTGTAAATAAAATTGAGTGCATACAATAAACGTATAACAACTGATTACATTTCACGGATGATTCGATTACTTTTTTATATTTTTATCCATCAACCCTTCCTCCGCTTCATAGAGGCGTGGGTCCTTTCGCAGGATCGGCTGAGATCTTCAATCAATTTACAAGAATTGTTTTCATTTTAGTTTTATTTGAAATAGTACTTGTGACAGTACTCATGACATATGCAGTTTTCAATATCTCGATTGAAATTCTGCATGAGTTACTCAACTAATTGTCGGACTTGCAGGAATATACCGCCGTCTGAAGTAGTAAATATACCTCTCGGATTCAGTCTCATCGGAATGAGAGTTTCTTTGCAGGGGGACAATTCGTACTTTGGGAGAATCGTTATTATTGCGAGTTTCGTCTGCACCAATCCGAGTCGTGAAGCTGAAAAATGCAGGCAGATTACTAGAGCCGGAGAGAAATATTGAGTAACAATTACGGAACAATTCACGTAATCCGCAATGGCGAATCGTTTTCCGGAAATTTTTATAGGAACGGATGAGAAGAAATTTGAAACGTTCAGTGAATTTTCAGGTTCATCACCGAACAAAGTACGAAATTGTCACGTCATTTTTCCCGGAGAAGTAAAATCTTACAGAAACTTGGCGACTTATTATGCCTCCAAAATCAAAAATTCTTGAACGTTTAACAATTTTTATGGAGCTGGTGAGTTATTTCTACGTTTCGTTCCGTAAAATTTCTCAATCGTTGGGGAAAAATTACGGAACGACCTGTTGTCCCCACAACGGTGAGTCATCAGACGGCTGGTTAATTTTTGTGGAACAAATGGTAGAATTTACGTGGCGAAACATAATTTTTACTTTTTCTCTGGTAATTTTTATTGAATTTTTCTCCCTGTGCAGTAAAATTTTATATTCGTTACCTATGCAAACATGTGGTCCATCCCCAAAAGGTATGTAGACACCCGCCTTGCGCGCTCTCTTATTCTCCTCAGAAAAGTTGTCGGGATTGAATTGGTACGGGTCTGGGAAGTAATCCTCATCGAAATGCAAACCCAACATTGGAATCAACACTGGAGTTCCCTTTTCGATAACCAAATGACCACCTGGGACTTTATAATCGTAGGAGGCCACTCTGTCCAAGAACTTCACGTACAAATCCTTGAAGAAATGACCGGGGGTTTTCCACTGCAGAATAATCTCCTTGAAACTCCCGAAAAACGGGACCGTCGGGATCTGCTCGACTCCCCGTTTCGTCCAATAGTTGAAATTTCTTGTCATGTAGAGATAGAACAGTATTATCAGCACAAAACAAACTGCGAGTACATCCAATCCCCAGAATTTTGTGAGCAACGCCATTGTAGTGAAGTCAAAATGAAATTCAGTCTTTCATGGAATTCAACTCGGACGTAATTTTGAATAACTGAGTTTATAGTGAAATGTTGATAAAATTTAATAATTTCTTGTTTCAATACAAAGATCAATTCTTTCCCTTTGTGACAAGCCTAAACTGAGCTTAATTGATCAATTTGTTTCTGAGTTATGAATAATTTTAAAAAATCTAAAGTGTCCGTTTTACCCCACCCTCTCCTACACAAAATTAAAATCACGCAACAGAGTACGAATAATAGAACTTTTCTGAGCGTGCTTACTGCGTCGGTAAGCATCCCGTATTTCTTGACAGTGGGTTTGTTCCGTGTTCAGTCGGTAAAACAAGTGACAACGTCATTGTCAGTTTTCCCTTGTTTTACCGACGGACAATATCTCAACTGGTCAGTTTTCACTTGTCTTACCGACTGACAACGTCGTTGTCGCTTGTTTGTCGATAAAACAATTGACAACGCTATAGCCAGTCGGTAAAACAAGTGAAAACTGACAACGACGTTGTCGCTTGTTTTGAAGATGATCATTTCAGAGCTATGACTATCCCCTTTCATTTGATTTATTCAACGCAACTGATTCGCGAGTAAACAAGCAAAAAACACAAGTTTATCTTCATTTTAATTGATAATTTCCTTCTTGATATACATAATCAGCTTAAAATAACAGATGATATTATTGCAAATTACACCGAATATTCATGATATTACTGTGAGAAATTTTCCATCATTTCGATTACTTTCCAGAATAAGCTAGTCAACTAATTTCCGCACTGTGAGGTATATACCGCCGTCTGGAGTAGATATCACAGCTTTTGGGTTCAATCTCATGGGAATGAGGGTCTCCTTGCACGGTGAAATTTCGTACTTTGAGAGCAGGGTAATTATTCCGAGTTTTGCTTGGATCAATCCAAGTCGAAGACCTGAAAAATTCCAGGAGAGTGGTAGAAACATGAATGAAGATGTCTGTCTTATTCCTGGACTATTATTCGGTCAGCCTGAGACGTGTTTTATATTGCCAAAAGATTTTCCAGATTTGGGGATTTGAAAGTTTCACGTGACATAATAATCTAATAATTATAAATGCAAATAAGATAATGCGTAAGATAATATAATTTATGCCGTCAAAGCATCTAAGGTTGACCGAATAGCCCGAGGATACAGAAATTGATACAGAAATTGAATATATCGGTCGAATTTAAAATGAATGAAGATGAAGAACACGAAAAAATTATTGAATCGCAATTATGGAATTCATTAATATCATCAGCGATTTGTTACCTATACAAGCATGTGGCCCATCTCCAAAAGGCATGTAGACGCCCCCCTTGCGAGCTTTTTTGTTCTCCTCAGAGAAATTGTCGGGATTGAAGCGAAAGGGGTCTGGGAAGTAATCCTCATCGAAATGTAAACCCAACATTGGAATCAGTACTGGAGTTCCTTTCTTGAGAACCAAATCAGTACCTGGGATTTTATAATCGTAAGATGCCTCTCTATCCAAGTAGGGCAGAGGTGGGTAGAAACGCAGAACTTCGGCTAGTACAGCGTCCAGGTACGGCAAGCCTGATGTCTACAAATATTGTAAACATCGAAGATCAACAGGAAATTTGAATTTTTTTAGACAATTCTTGATAGTATTTACCGTCATTTCATACGTTAGTTTGCCATCGTTCTCATCCAGAGCCGCTTTTATTTCTTGCCTCAATTTGTCTTGAACTTCTGGATGTGTCGCGAGTTCGTACAGACAAAAACTCATGACAGTGGAGGAAGTTTCAAATCCACCAGTGAAGAAAACTGCAGCTTGCGCCACCAGATTGTCGCCATCGAATTCTGAGAAAATGATCGTCGACTGGCAATCATATCCATTCAATATTTCTAATGTTTATCAATGAAGAATTGATCATAACCCTAGTCTGGTCACCAAACGCGAGCGTATGACTTGGTCACCTCCGCGGGGATTCCCCGCCGGGTTTTTAGGCTTCAGCGTTGCCGAATTCACTCTACACTCCCTGGCGCGTCTACCGAGTTTCCGGCAACGTCGCGTCACGTGCAATTTCATTTAGCATGGAAAAAAATAATTCTTTTTTTCGAAATGATTTGTTTTCTTTAGAAATTTGGGAAAATGAGTTGTTCTAAAATTACTGTAATTTTTTAGACACTTCGATTGACAAAGCCAATTTTTTTTAAATTTCTCCGGTTTAATTTCCCCTATAGGGTGACCAATCTAGGATTGAGGCTGAAACTTGACTTTGAAAAGTTTAAAAAAAATCATACAACTTCCCTATTGCCCATTTTCATTGATGACGTTCATAATTTTTGCAAAAAAACGTCCCACATACCGAAAATTTTTTTCTCCTCCTCCGGTTGGTTCTTTCGCAATTCAATGAGAAGGTCGATGAGATCGGGGCGTTTGATTCCCGAATTCTGTCGCTCTACCAAAGTATTCCAGAGTGCTTCTCTCAAGAATTTTGTACTTTCTTTATGGAAGAATTGAATATTCAGAGGTTTAACAAACTGAGGTGCAAAGAACATTGCTAAAAACTCGTAACCACGGTAAGTCGTGAACTCGAAGATCTTCTTGCCGTGTTTTCGAAATTCTGCTTCGGGATCATTGAGGGAATTCGCTTTGATGCCGTAAGCAGTTGTTGCAATGAGGTCGGTCGTGAATTTTGCGGATACATCCTTCATCTCTAAAACGCGGCCGGCACCTGATGCAAAACACAATATTGACTCGTTTCTATTAATTTGCACACCATTTTCTTCTACCATTTATAATTCATTATTTATTTCATTTTATTAAATTGAATAAGATTTCTTTTTAACTAATTCCTCGAGAATTCTGTTGTTAAAAAATAACCTGATCCTCATTAAATGGTAAGATATTCTTCAAAAAATCATGTTGCAGTTGGATTATTTCACTGATCACTTCAATTTTAAAAAATTCAATAACAACTTGCCTTCTAATTTCTGGGATTCCAAGAACGTTTCCAAATCCTTGCAAACATCCATCATCAACTCAAACATTTTCTTCAACCTTCCAGCGGTATACACCGACGTCAATTTCGATCTCACATACTTCCAGGCTGGATTTTTAATGAGAAAAAGATTAGCAGCACTAAGTGTGTCATTAGAATTAGCTGTGAGATGTTTGTCCTGGAAGTAGTTGGCATCCTTCACAAGAACATTCTTAACAAGCTCTGGATCGCGAATCAGGAGAAACGGTTTATCAAGAACGTAGAAGCCGATGTAAGGCAGGGGTGAGTATTTCTCATACCAATCCCTGAAGAAATGACCGGGGAATTGCTGCTGCAGAATAATCTCCTTGAAACTCCCGAAAAACGGAACTGGCGGGATCTGCTTGACTCCCCGTTTCGTCCAATAATTGAAATTTCTCGTCATGTAGAGGTAGAGCACTATTATCAGCGCGAAACATCCCGCGAGTGCGTCCAATCCCCAGAATTTCGTGAGCAATGCCATTTTTAGTTGAAAACAAACTCAATTTTTTATGCACCACAACGTTACTGAACGTTAATCATTCTTGTTGGGAATTTTTAACTGAACAATCGGGAATTTATGAAAGAGATGTCCTCCAGGAGTCTTCTTCCACACAATATCAAACACTGAGTAACTTGCAGTAGCCTCGGATACCCAAATGACATAGCCGTGAACCTCCATCATTCCATTCTCCAGTTTATATCTTTTTTTGCGTTGATAATTTCAGGTAAGCACTAGTACGTCATGAAGTAATTAAAGGTTTCGTCTATTGATGAATACTGATTTATTCTAATTGCTGACAATCTCATCCGCAAGGCCGTAATAGGCGTTCGTTAGGTACTCGACATATGCAACAAAATTAATATGAAGACGTAAGTCACGGATGTAACTTTGAGGTGGAAGAAAAGTGTCGAGTTGACGTTATTAGGTGGAATAATTTGGGAGATGATGCCCATGGATTATTTCTGTGGACGAGATAATTGACGAAGCATTAAGGGGAGGTTCACCCAGGGAAAAAAAATTTCGTTTTCCGAGAAATAAAATTTTGAAATAATATTTCCCGCGGCATTTTTCAGTCGTTTTCATGCGTTCGGAAAATTTCTCCAGTAGCAGTAGGAGGATTTACAAAAATGAGGGATGATTGCACTGGATAACTCGAATTTTTCAGGTGAGAAACTATAAATAATTAAAAAATACAGAGCTTAGGTTTCAATGAAGGGATTAGGACAGTCTTGGGATGGATGATAAACTGGAAAATGTCCTTTACAAATGTTAAGAGAATTGAGGATTATTTCAATGAAATGATTCAAGTTTAAAAGAATATTTGAATGAATTTTATGTTTATATTATTCTCTGAAGAACGGGACTGAAATTATTAATAAAAAATAATAATGTTAATTAAATTTTTATTTTTATTAAATACTAATAAAAAAATACTTGAGTTGTAAATGAAAAACTTCTAGAAAAAATTCAAAAGATGTTATATAATTTCGCATGTTAGACACGCAACAGTAATGGATTACATTCAAGACATGATGCAGACCGAGCCCATTACTGCAAACACCACACAAAAAAGAGAAAAGGAAATTCTGTCAATCGCGGTAGCAATCAAAATCCACTCTAGCTGAACGGTGTTCGACGTAGAAGACATCAGTTTGTTCTCATCAGCATCATCTGCATGGTTCGATAGTACGTTCGACGCGTAATGAGAGGGATCACTGAGGGGAGACTCTGTGAGTTCTTGTAGTCCGGATTGTCGTTGAGATTGCATCTGTGGATGAAGACAGAACGCTTTCATTTAGATAGAATAATGAACATCCCTCACGTGATTAGAAAGTCAGGAATCCTAGGTCAGCATCTGATTTCTTATAACAGCGTCATAAGCCTAACTGCTCTCCTGTTATTGATATTTATCACGACGGAAGTAGAAGAACCCAGAAATGATTTCTCTGAGGAATCAGGAATATAATTCAATCATGACCAGCCTTTACTTCAATTAACAATCTAAAATGTTGCTATGAGAAATAAACACAGTTTGAGGATGGATTTACAAACATAAGGGATAGATTATTTCTCGCTATGACTGAAGTATCCCCTTTTGGAAAAAATTCACTCCACAAAATCAATCCTACAGGAAATTCCATCCCTTCTTGCCTATCAGAATTCTCCCCCTTCATCAACGGATTCCATCTGGACGGTCAAATATTTTATACATATGTAGGATTATTCGATACATGCATAGATGGAATACCTTAATGAATAAATAGAAAACATTCAACAAGTGCGAATGTATATTTATCGTATATTGTAAACTCAATCTTACAAGTAGTATTACATCAGAAAGCCTCAAAAACTCTCCAGCCGGACCCATCAGGACTTCCTTAAAGACCCGTGGAGGCGGTCGACAATGCGGCTTCCTTGATAAGTTTATAACCACTATGGAAATAACCAAGGATATCGTCACCTGGTAGAGGCAGCCACTGTAGAAAGTCACTGGAACGAGAAAATCGCGAGCTTCAATGCCAGACGTAGCAATACGACCAAAAATTTCCGTCATTCACCTATTAGGGGAGTTTTTGACAGTAACGGTGGCACTTTCTGCATGAAGTACACGAGGAAGTAGGATATCATCAGACTCAGAAAGCCGCAGAGGACCAATTTTTCCTTGCTCTGCGGCGGAAGCCAGAAAATCACCAAATTCAGGAAGACGATGACTGCAATAGAGGAATCCCAATGCAGATGTCATCAAGAGGTGTCAATGGTGTTTTAGGTATATGGAACTCACAAACTGTAGGCGTTACAATCACGCTCTTATAGAGTACTGAACTCCTCTTCAACGTCAGATTGAACCGAAGCGTGACGAATGGTTCGTCGGGACAGCATTTCTCAGTGAAAAGCTCGCGTCCTGTTGTCATCTCTTTCAGCTGCCACTCGGTATTGTGTATTATGCCCAGCTGAAAATGAAGATAGAAGTGAAATAGTAGAGGGTATCAAATCGACTTATGTCTTCGCTGATTTATAGTTGATATCTCGGAAGCTAAAGGAGAGAGCGGAGTTCTTGTAAGGACATCTGCGCGCTTATTCAGTCCAACGCATCAACGGGAATTCATAGCTGGGTTGAAGAAATTCAAAAACTTACATCTGCTGTTGAAGTATTATTATAGATCTTCAAATCCATCTGACTAGCGGTAGATGCCGCGGATGTTATTCTAAGCGTACATCTCTGAGTGTCAAAGGGCCAAAGACGAAAATCAAGATCGCAGAGTGCGAGAAATTGCACCGGTGGCGCCCAGCTGACAGTCCCATCATAATGAATGTGGCAGGGCACGAGACCATAGCTGCTCATGGCTTTGGAAGTATCTGCTCTGTAAAATTTCATAAATTTCCATGATTGTTATCATCCAAACTTGTTTATTCGTCTCGTACCCGTTGAGCAGGAGAATGTCTGGCTCCCAGATTTCATATTTGCGGACTTGAAAGTGATGGACACCTCCGTATTTCGATGCATCCCACCTCAATTTGTCATCGTCCCAGACCTTCGTGGAAATAATCAAATGTCATAATCTACACCAAATTATTTGATGCATGGTGGACTAATTTTTCTCTAGTTTAAGGATAATTACCATTGTCATGTACGCACGAACGTTAACGGCCGATTTGAATTCATCCTGATGAGTAATAGAGAAAAAATGAACAGATGATGATCAGTGAAATGGATAGGCAATCATCCGTATCATAAAATAGGAGAAATGAGGTCAATGCTGACTATCATCAATGTAACTGGTTTATGCTTACGATAGTAACGTAATACACTTGAAGTCCGAGGTAAACGGTGATGGTACTATTATGGTGAGCTGGTCGAGAATGAGTGTCATAATTCGCAAGTATATCCGTTTTCAGTTTGTCTATCCATGTCTCGTTCCAAACTGTTGCGTCTGACAGCAAACGAAAATAATATGGAAGAATATGCGCAGATAGTGGACTTTTTGCCGGATCAACCTTGAACGTAGCGCTCAGAAACTAAACTATCTGATAGTTTTAAATGATCCACTAAGCGGATAAACGTACTCATCATGTTGAGCACCGTTCAATTCACAAAATTATTAATATCAGGTTTTTCAAAGAATTCTTTGTATCATTCTTAAATTTTCAAGATCATTAAATTTTTAAGGGCCGCACAATCCTCAGAGCACACCTGTTTAAACTGAATCTTGCAGAAGAAGAAAACTGCCGGTTATGCGGGGGGATAGGGAGGACAATATACACAGCTTGTGTGAGTGCCCCCTATTACCACTTCGTCGCTATAAACTTTGGGGCCAGGCCTTCATGGAATCAGAAGACCCATGTAAAGGGAGTAGCCAGCCTCATTAGCCTAGTAAAAGATATAGGGCTAAAGCTAGTGGACTGATTCAATAAAGGCGGATGTTACAAAAGATCATATGATTTAGGTGACTCTGGGCAACATATTGATCATTGAGATCATTAAATAACAAGTGGTCTATATAGGATTGAAAATTATCCAACGGGACAGAAAGTTTCTCATTCAAACACTCACCTTTAACCCCTATATTCTGTAATCCATCAGTTCCACTAAAAATAGTGAAAAGACCTACGAAAGCACTCGAAATCACGAACAAACGAGTCATTTCGCGACGGAGTTCTGAGGACCGCGTTGAGGACTGAGGTACATGCGAACGATGAGGACGGCGAATCTGTCTGTGGTCTTGAGTACTTCATTATATGCAGCCACTCGTGGGCGACGTGAGACAGTAGATGATAATTTTCCATCACATTACCGGCCAGAGGTGATTTTCGCGGGAATTATCACAAGGTCTACACACGTTCGTAGGAAATGAACAATTTGTGGATGTCTTGAGTCATCTTATATTTGATGAATATAAGCTACCTTGAACTTCCACGAGTTATCTGTTGATGTTACAATTTATTTTATAACATCGAGAATGTTTACAATGTAGTCTATTTGTGTTCAGTTGTTGCAATGATAATGAGACCTCATGGATTATCTAGCTATTTCCTCTCATTCTTCTGAGCACTTGGGTCGGCATTGGTTGAGGAGTGGGGGCCGGTAGAAAGTTGCTCATTTCTTAGAAATGGTACCCCTACAGCCCTTTCGATGAGCAACTAGCGAGAGTCTACTACTAATAATGTCAAAGGCGGCACACATGATGAATCCCTACTCAATCCCTAATTAAACATAATCTATAAAGTCAAAAAACTCAGTAATTATTCTGCCGCGATTGCTCCGGATCTTCGTTCAACTCACGACTAGTTGAAGTTCTCGGGGTTCTCTGAATCGCACAAGGGATTTCCCAGAATCCCTTGCACAATAAGTGAAAAAACCATCATTTATATCGGTGAAAACGAGTCATGAGTTGATTTCTGTCATACTGTTATTATTTGATGAGCTCCTTTATGTTGAGGTATACGCCTCCCTCAGCGGCTACATTCAGCCCTTTCTTAGCCAATACCATGGGAATCGCGGTCTTGTCACACGGGGAGAACTCGTAGTTCCGTAACATTTCGATGAGTCCCACTTTGACTTGAAGTAATCCCAGTCGCAGGCCTATCAGACAAATTTTTACTGGAATAATCCGTTCTGAATCGATCGACTCTCAGTTCTTATAGCTCTTATAGTTACCAATGCAAACGTGTGGACCATCTCCGAACGGATACCACGCCCTTTTGCTGGAATCTCTGCGAGCTTCTGAAAATCTCTCGGGATCGAATTTATCTGGGTTCTCATGATACTTGGGATCATAATGCAGGCCCAGCAAAGGAATGTAAACCGGTGTTCCCTTTTCGATTACAAGGTCCGTTCCCGGAACACTATAGTTTGATGTCGCTACGCGATCCAAGAATGGTAATGATGGGTACTTCCGAAGGGCCTCTAGTACCACCATGTCTAAGTAAGGAAGCTGCATAATCTGGGAAATGATCAGTGACTCATAGAATTGAGGATAAAATTTTGTAGGAGCGGAAGACATTGAGTTTATTACTTAAATAGGAATAATAATGGGAGTAGAAGATAATGGGGGCCTGTGTAATGAATGGTTATAGTCTGATTTTAAGACATTTTAAATGATAAAATAAAGTGCTATTGTCAAATTCATAATTTCATAGAAAAATCCGTGGGAACTGTAAATTTCAGTTTAATCACTCCGGGAAAATTGATCAAAATCAGGAAAATTCAGGAAAAATACGCGCTGGGAGAAATCTCTCCTTGAATTCCAGATTTCTCTGACTTCAGGGAATTCCTTCAAAATTTCTCGAATCCCGAGAATTTTACAGGAATTGTCTGAAAATTCAACGGAATTCGGCAATGAATATTCATTTTCACTTGAAAGTTCATGTAAATTGTGGAATTTTTATCTTTCGGTCACTAAATATTTGAGACTTTACTTGAATTCTCAGAGAAACTTGAAATTTTATTGACTTCTTCCCCTAAAATCGGATTCAAGGCATTTTTGACTGTACCGTCTCGTAAGTTATTTCACCGCCATCCACTTCTACGGCATCGGTAATTTCTTTCCTGAGGCGAATTTGCATTTCAGGGTGTACAGCTAGTTCATAGAGCGAAAAACTCAAAGTAGTAGAGGAAGTTTCGAAGCCCCCAAGGAAGAATACGGCTGCCTGAGCAACGATATTATCACCTTTGAATTCTGAAAGTTGCAGAGAAATTAAAATCAACGATTTCTAGTGCAGATTCAAAATTTGCTGTCAAGTTTTCAGTGATATTGGCATAATTTGAACTAATTTACTTCATGAAATCATGTCTGACGTCATGAACAGCCCTTTCCGGATGCAAATTGATAGTAAACTCACCAAAGATATCTTTATAGGCACTATTATCCTCTTGGTTCTTCAACTCAATCAGGAGATCAATGAGATCATGCCTTTTGTTTCCCGACTTCTCGCGTTGATTTATCGCGTCCCACACAGCAACACGCAAGAATGCACTGAATTTCTTTGGAAAACTGTAGAACCTTAGTGGTGTCACCAAAAAAGGAGCGAAGACGTTCGCGATTTGCTCAATGCTGCGGTACCACGTGTCCATGAACAATTCTTTTCCTCTTTCTCTGAATTCAGCATTCGGATCATTGAGTGAATTGGCTCGCAGCCCAAAAGCTGTCGTTGCAATCATATCGGTTGTGAATCTAGCACACAGCTCTTTCATCTCAACTGTCCGGCCGGGTCCTGGATAAATTCATGAATTGACAAAACATCTGGGGAAAAATCCATTTTGAGGAGAGACTTTTATAATTTTCAAAATTCGCGGGCTATTAGAGCGAGATTTATGAAGCGAAAAATCTCATGTAGGAGTCCAATTTAAAACAACTAGCTCGTAATTGTTTTTTACACATTTCTACAATAAAAATTACGAGAGAGGGTTTTTTCCAAATTAAAAATTCCCTCTGCAGCTCAAAAATTGGAGGCCCTGAACTATTTTAAACATTTTAAATGTCTGCGGGGCAGAGGAACAATGAACAATTAATTTTTTTGTACTAATTATTCGTTTTTAGACATATATAATCGATCTTGAAGAATCTGAGCATGAAGAATCTCTTTTAAAACTCATAGCAGTTTCCCTTCAATGACATTACCTTTGAGATCCAGGGATTCCAAATGAGTAACGAGATCCTGGGCTACTTCTACCAGAAGTTGCACCATCTTTTTCAATCTCCCGGATGTATAAATCGAAGACATTTTGGTTCTGACATACTTCCACGCGGGATTTTTTATCATAAATAAACTAGCGCGTCCTAGCAAATCGTAATCACCACTCGATGTATATCGATCTTGAAAATGATCAAAGTCCTTGATGAGAATGTGCTTGATGAGATTTGTATCCCGGATCACCAGCAGTGGTTTGTCAAATCCGAAAAAGCCAACGTAAGGCTCGTCCGGTGCATAATTGTAAATCTCCTGCAGTAATTTGCCACCGGATTTTTGGCCTGTCAAAAAGCCACCGAAATTTCCCAAAAAGGGGGTCGGAGGAACGGAGACTACTCCTCGCTTCTTCCAGTAATCGAAATTTCTGGTCATGTAACGGTATGCCAAGTAGGTGATGAGGGTCAGAAAGATGATTGGATACATCATCCAATGATTCCACGCGAATATCATACTCCCTGTCTCTAGGCAGCCTTCCAGGACTGTTTCTGAATGCGAACTACAAGCCTCTTATAACCGATTGGGCGATGGTTCACCCGCAATCGTATTTTTTTCAACTTATCTCTTATCTTGTGTGCTGTTGTCTCGAATTAATGAGAGACTCATGAGGAAAGTCGCTCGCTAAAAATATCCCGAATCTCATCAATGTTCTCATACCAAAAGCGTTACAGGAGATTTGGGGGTTCATCAATGTGAATTTTGCAATTAAAGGTATATGCGTAGAGAACAGGTTTTACCTGCTATTGTTTCCAGGTTTTTTCGTAGATAATGTTTATAATATTCCCCAGCTATTGAAAAAAATTCCAACTGGCTATACTACACTAGACCATTTCTTCGGGAATTTAAAAAAATTCCTCTGGCAATTTTTCCGCTACTAGAATTATTCGCAACTACTGAATCCATTTTTGCGACAAAAATTTTCTACCTCGGCGCACTCTTAGCGTGTTTGACAGGAAAAAATCATTTTTTGATCATTTGACAAAAAACATTTTTTGACACTTTGTCTTTGGATAGAATGAATAGAATAAATGACAGCAATTGAGAATTTGAGACTAAAAATTTTATCGCATTCTTATTATGTAGTGTAATGCTTGCATCTACATAGGTATCACGTTTAGTTATGATGTTTCCCTTAGAAAACTTTTTTTCGAACGGATAGTATTAATTGATACATTTTATGAGCTCCATTTTCCGTGGAAATCAGTTTTTTATTTTTTTTATGTTGAGGTACAAGCCTCCTGCTGCGCTTGTCATCAGACCCTGCGTGTGGAATTTCATTGGTATTGCAGTTTTTTCGCAAGGGTAGACTTCATATTTTTGTAATATACTGATCAGTCCCATTTTTGATTGGAGTAATCCAAGTCTCAGACCTATTAACAAAGATGACTTGGTTAGAAATAACAAGTCATCCTCGATTAAAAGGAGACCGCACTGAAATTCCGAAATCGAGGGGCCTTTATTCACCGTGTTGACGAGTTTACTACTTCAGTTTTAACGTAAAAAACTCATGAGAATGTCATAATAAAGCCATTTAGAATTTTTCCGGAAATCCATAGGGACTAATTTTTGGGTCCGATTGTTTCGGGTGATCGCGCGCTGTTGCCGTGTTGGCGCTGACCGCTACACGCGCATTTCAAGAGTGGCAGTGAATGTAGCAACACTGCCGCTCAAGTGATCGACAGAGTCACTCGCAGCAGCTGACGCGGTACCGCTTTTCTGTGCGTTCGTCGTTCTTTTCCAGCTAAACAAATTTCCCGAGAAAAAATGAACAACGCTAACGCTCAGTAAAAGGACTGAACTAGGAACTCTAATTTTTTTAATGTAACCTACGTGTGAACCTAAATTCAAATCAATCGGTTGAGAATAACGTCTTGAATAAACTCAAAACCCAATTTTATCTTTTTTTTTATATTAAAACTGTAACTAGTAAAATCATCAGGATAATGGCTAAAGTCCCCAGCGATTTTGAAATTTCACTGTGGTCTCCCTTAAGTGATTCATATATTTCTTTATCAATCATATTATTTATTTACCAATGCAAACGTGCGGCCCATCCCCAAACGCATACCACGCCTTTTTGGTTGTTTCTTTGTTGGCATCAGAGAATCTCTCCGGGTCGAATTTTTCTGGATTCTCATGGTATTTAGGATCATAATGCAGCCCAAATAGGGACACGAACACGGGGGTTCCCTTCTCGATGACAAGATCACTCCCAGGGACTCGGTAATCTGAATCCGCAACGCGGTCCAATATTGGTAATGGTGGGTATTTGCGGAGAGACTCTGATAGCACCATGTCCAAGTAGGGGAGCTTCACAATCTGAGGAATGATTTATAATCAAGGGCATAATCAATGCAGTTGATGTGCGACTTCGATGGACTTCTGAAGGTCTACTACGGTACCATGTCGTAAGTGATCTCTCCACCGCTCTCTTCTACCGCATCCGTGATCTCTTTTCTGAGGCGATCCTGTATTTTGGGGTGTAGAGCTAATTCGTAGAGGGTGAAGCTGAGGGGAGTGGAGGACGTTTCGAAACCTGCGGTGAAGAACACGGCTGCTTGGGCTACGATATTGTCACCTTCGAAAGCTATAAATGAAGCACCGATTTTCTTGAAAACTTACAGAAAATGTTTTCCTACCTTTTGAATTCAGTAACGAAGCGGTAAACCGGGTTAAGTCGATTTTGACTATTGTCCAGTTTTTGACGAATATCTGGGAATCTAAAAGAGATAGAAAAATTTTTGTCATGACCTTTTTTGTAGAGTCAACTGAGGGTTATAAAAAAGGTAATGAGCAAAATTTTGCTATCGCTGTTAGATTCCGAGATATTTGTCAAAAAATGGCCAAAAGTCAAAATCGACTTGACCCGGTTTACCGCTTCGCTACTGAATTTATTCCATTGCTATCTCTGAATTGAATGAAATAAGTAAAGGATGTTTGTATTCCAATGAATATACCCACCAAAAATACTCTTATCTGGATTATTTACGTCCTGATTCTTCAGTTCAATCAGGAGGTCAATCAGATCGTGTCTTTTGACCCCACATTTTTCGCGATTAGTGATAGCTTCCCACAGAGCGGAGCGCAGAAACTTACTGACCCGCTTGGAAAATATGTTGAATTTTAACGGTGTCATTAAGAATGGAGCGAAGAACGTGGATATCTGCTCGACGCTCCGATAAAATGTATGTTGAAAAACTTCCTTTCCATATTTTCTGAATTCCGCGTCAGGATTATTCAAGCAATTCGCCCGCATTCCAAACGCCGTCGTTGCAATCATGTCAGTGGCAAATTTCGCGCAAAGTTCTTTCACCTCAATTGTTCTTCCAGATTCTAAAAGTATCAACGAAAATTATGATTGAGGGGATTTTCAAAACGGGGATTCACTGGGAGAAAAAAGTGGCTCTGCTCTTCTGAAAAAAAAATCGACACCTCGAAATTATTTTGTTTCGCCAAGAACACAATTTTCGGAAAGAAAATTGAAATTATTGTCTGTTTCATGGAAATTAAAAGATTTATTGGACACGAGAACAATTATTTACTATTATTTACTACGGAAATTATCATGTTTTGGTGGAAATTTTGTTTTTTGTCCGGAAGCAAATTAATTCAACACGACAAAAAATCTGTTCAGGAGAATATAGAATTTTTCCCCAGAACAAATTTTTTCTCTCAGTGTACAATGCCGTGCACATGCTTTTTATTCCGAAGACGTTACCTCTCAAATTCAGGGAGTCAATGTGAGTAACGAGATCCTCCCCAACTTCCGCCATGAGCTTCACCATTTTTCTCAACCTCCCGGACGTATAAATCGGCGACATTTTAGTCCTGAGATATTTCCACTGTGGATTTTTAATGATAAATAAATTGGCTGATCCCAGTACGTCATGAGCGCCAGCGTCAGCATAACGATCTTTAAAATAATCGAAATCTTTGATGAGAATTTGCTTGATGAGCCCTGGATCACGGACCAGGAGCATTGGCTTATCAAAACCGAAGAATCCAACGTAAGGCGCATCTTTTGAATAGTTATACACATCCCACAAAAAACCGCCGACTGATTTTCTGCCCATCAAAAAATCGCCGAAGCTTCCGAAAAAGGGAGACGGAGAAACGCACACTACACCTCGCGCCTTCCAGTAACCGAAATTCCTTGTCATATAGCGATATATCAGGTACACGATGAGGAGTATGAGGACTCCTGTCTCCATCGTCCAATGATTCCATGTGCGCACCATTTTTAGTTGTTACTCCATTGACATTTCCAACAAAATGTTAGAGGTTTGTTATTATATTCTTACGGAATCGAATGGTTTAATTTATCCTCTTCCCCTCTTTTGTAAAATAAAAGACTGATGATTATTATTGTAATGTGGAGAGATAACTTCAGGACGGTTTTACTTTGACTGTCAATAAATACGTCTCTACGATTTATCTCGAGTTATTACTTTAATAAATGTAACAATATCATTGCGGGAGAAGCGTTGTTGATTGGTGCTGAATACGTACTGCGGTTCGCGTTGACTTATTCAAGTTTGAATATCGTTGAGTTCTCTTCATGATAGGCAGTTACGCGCGTAATACATTGATAAGTCGCGATAATTGAGTGGTCGGAGAGTGGGTCAGGAGGTGTAATGATGATTTGATATGTCTCTATATTTTTATTTAGACCATTATTCTTCCCCCCGTGACCCCTTATTTTGGAGTCTTAATTATTATTTCAGTAGCGAAGTGGTAAAACGGTTTAAGTTGATTTTGACTATTCGTCAGTTTTCAATGAATATCTCGTGATCTAAGGCAGATAGCCAATTTTTTGTTACGACCTTTTCTGTAGAGCAAATTGAAAGCTGCAAAAAAGATATTGATGACAATTTTGCCATCTCCCCTAGATTCGGAGATATTCCTCGAAAACTCAACTAAGAGATGAGTCGACTTCAATCGTTTTACCACTGATTTATTTATTTATTTATTTCAATAAGCGGCCTTACAGGGACTGCGCCCTATGGCAGTGGGGGGTACATAAATTTTACATTTCAAAGTGATTAAGTACGCAATGCGGAGTGAGGGAAAGAAGAAAAATTTCATTGATAAATGCAGAATTAGATTGAGAAAGGACTCAGTGTGCGAGCCTTCATAATTAGGGTTGAATAGAACGTTCCATAGCAGGTCACGCAGTTATTATTCTTATAATTATTATTATTATCGTTATTATTTTTTTGTTTCACTTCATGCTTTAATATTTTCTATTTAGTTGATAATAACATTTCTTATAAATTATATACTTTATTTATTTATTTATTTATTTATTATTATTTTAGACCACAGTTAACGTATTTACAAGGCTTCTTCACCTCAGCCAATTAATATGAAAATGGAACTTTTGATACTAATTTGCTGAAATTTTCCGAACATTCATGATAACCCCACCGTCCGCTGCTAGCATCAGTGCTTTTGGATTGAATCGCATGGGCATAAGAGTTTGCTCGCACGGCGAAAATTCGAATTTTCGAAGTAGTTCGATGAGACCCAGTTTTGTTTGTAGCAGACCAATTCTCTGACCTAGAATGGAAAATGGTATAAGACGACAACCAGAAAAATGGTTCTTTTGAATCAAATAAAAATCTTTATTTTAAATTTTTTACTTGTTTCAGAAGAAAGGATTTAATTTCATCGAATAAACAATTTATTAATTCCAAATAAACAGGTTTCTTATTTGAGAAAAATCACATTTCCTTAATAAAAAAATCAATAACTATTTAATTATTTTATTATTAATGTAGAATTTATTTGGAGGAAATAACGATTTATTAATAATAAAAAAATGATTTTATGTTGACAGAACGTCAAATAAAAAAGAATTTTTCATTTCAATAAAAACTTGATCTCGTACTATTTAAATAAACCTATTTATCTGAATCAAATAAATCATTTTTCTGGGTGGAGAAATTATATTCAAATCGATTTCAAATCGAAAAAAATGTGAGGAAATGAGCTGTCAAATTTTCTTCCACTGATAAATTCTGATACATTCATATATTTACCAATGCAAGTATGAGGACCGTCTCCGAAGGGCAGATAGACACCGGCAGGTCTCGTCTTCTTATTCTCCGCACTAAACCGCTCCGGGTCAAATTTGTGTGGATCAGGGAAATACTGGGGGTCATAGTGAAGTCCGAGTAGAGAGATATAGACCGGGGTTCCCTTTTTCAGGACCAATTCAGAGTTGGTTACTTTGTAATCCTGCGCTGCTACTCGATCGAGCAACGGCAATGGCGGATACTTCCGGAGGATCTCAGAGACGACCATGTGCAAATATGATAAATCCGATATCTTTGCAATAACAGTTCGAGAATTAGTAAATGCATAATGTGATTTATTGTTCAAGAAAAAAATTTAAAATTCAAGGGACGATCTCATGAGAATCTTTTCGGTAGCTTTTATTTCGCTGTAAAAAAACTTGTTTGAAAAATTCATCTATTTTTGTTAGATTTAGAGATGTTTGTTGACGTACAATTATTGGGACAGTTATTCAAGAATTAATTGATGAATCAAGGTTATAACATTAATCCGTTAATTTTATTTGTTATTCCATCAATTTTTATCGATGGATAGTGATCTTACCATATCATACGTTATTTCTCCCCCAGTCTTCTCAAGGTTTTCCATAATTTCAGTCCTCAGTTTTGATTGCACATCTTGATGAAGAGCTAATTCATAAAGTGTAAAGCTCATTGTTGTTCCCGATGTCTCATACCCGGCGGAGAAGAATACCGCCGCCTGGGCTACTACATTATCTCCGTCAAAATCTGTACCGTCAAATGTCACAGAATCATAAGAAGAAAATAATATAAATATTGAAATATTATTTGTTTTTGCTAAATTGACCCCTCACGTACGGCGCCCATATAACGCGGCTTGTCCCAACGACCGGAAGACTTACGGCGCGGCAACTCCGTTATTCAATGAACGATAACTTAAAAACAGTCGAACGAGAAAAATTGAAATAAAATGCATTGGCTGCATTGAACTTTGAAATAAACTCCTAGAGAATTTCCTAATTTTTGACACCAATTTCAATGTTTGCCGCCAATTGGTTGCCGAGATTTTCGAACATGCTAAATTTATTTATAAAAATAATTGAAATAAAAATAAAATTGTTCACTGCAGAGACAATTCCATTGACTTTCCAACTGTCTGTTCCAAATATAAATCTGTCTCTTAGAATTCGACTCACGATAACGTATACGGATATATTAAATCAATTAAAGAATAAAGAAAATTATTCTACCGAACAATTCTTTCTCAGGCCCAGGGGCCTGAGTCTTCTTCAACTCGAGAAGTAAATCAATGAGATCATCCCTATTAATCCCCGAGCGTTCCCTCTCGTTGAGTGTATTCCAAACTGCACTTCTCAGAAACTTTGTATTAGCAGGTGAGAAGGCCTTCAACTTGAGCGGCTTAGTAAGGCGAGGAGCGAAGAACACACACGTGAATTCGATACTTCTGTAGAAAGTGAAGTTGAATATATCCCGTCCACATTTACGGAATTCCGCGTCGGGATTGTTGAGGGAGTTGACTTTGAGACCAAAGGCAGTGGTGGCGATTACATCTGTCGTGTACTTGGCGCAGAGTTCTTTGAGCTCAATGGCTAGACTGCCCCCTGCAAAGTGAATGATTCACTTCGTAAATTACTAAAATTTTGAAAAATTAATCAATTAAAATTGATCCTCTGCTTCCACGTGTGCAAATTGTATTGCAAGTCTAGTGTGCGGACGGTGACGAGTTCGATCATTTCACAAGAGAAAAAAGAAAAAATTTCAATTTCAACTTGATTAGCATTTTTACGCAAAGATGTTGACATCGTGATTAAACGCAAAGTATCACGTAAAAAAAAACTCGAATTGAGTATAAAATATAGGGGAGGGTGGGGCAAAACGGCCCCCCTTCAATTGTCAATAACTTGTGAATGACATTGTGAAAATTCCCAGTTTCAACTTCATTTTGAAGATAATTTTTCATTCTTCAAAACGAGCTCTAACTCATCCCAATCGGATTATTGAATCGGAAAATATTGACGATCGAAGGGGGGCCGTTTTGCCCCATCCTCCCCTACTTGATTCAAGTACAAGAAAAAAAAAGAAAAATATTTGAGAAAAAATTAAAAAATAAAAATAAAATAAAATAAAATATTTAAGAAAAATATTTGATTGGGGATACTTGAATCACCTATATAATATACTCGAATCAAGAATAATATTCTTGAGTCAAGTACATAATATTCAAGTTTTTTTTTTTCCGTGATTGATTTCACGATTTAATTCTGCATCATCCCCTCAATAATTGACTAACCCTTCCAAGGAAGCGCCGCCATGTGCGTTTTAAGATCATCAGCAACTTCCGTCATCAGCTGGAACATCTTCTTCAGCCTCCAGGACGTGTAGATCGGCGTGATCTTGGACCTCACGTACTTCCACGCTGGATTCTTAACGAAAAACAGATTGGCATTCCCTAGACGATCCTCGGGGCTCGCCTGGGCGAACCTGTCCTGGAAGTAGTCGAAGTCCCTCACGAGGATATTCTTGATCAACTCGGGATCGCGAGCGAGGAAGAACGGTTGGTCGAACACGTAGAACCCGATGTAAGGGCGACCAGCGCCCCAGTTGTACAGACCCTGCAGCCACTCTCCAGCGCTCTTCTTCATCTTCAAGCAGTCACCAAAGTTACCAATGAAGGGAGTCGGCTCCGGCTCCATCACTCCCAGATTTTTCCAGTACTTGAATTTTCTCGTCATGTATAAATATGCCAGCACCACTAGACCCGCGATTCCCAGGAGCAAATCGGTGCCCCAGTATTTCGTCAACATTTTTATTTTCGTTTCAATGAAAACTTTACACAATTTTCCTTTCTTCCGAAGTGGAAGGATAGAGACGAGTCGGTCAGGTACTGAAGACTCACAAAAGATTATCCCTCAATTTCATAACTATTTATCAGTTGTTCACACATCGGTTGCTCATGTATTGGAGATTCACTGCGAAGTATTTAGTATTTTCATGTCGCTACTCAACACATGACGGCGCATTATCATAACTGGCTTGCTGAATAACAATGACATGCGCCTGGAAAATTTCCATAATGTGTAATGGTCTGTAAAATGAAGTTTCTCGGTACTAATGAGAGGGAAATGATGCGAGTTTTATTGAGTGTTGAATTGATTGGCATTTGTAGTGAGACAACGTTCCTGAAGCTGCAAGTCATTTTTTGTCAGGGAAGAAAAAATATTGATGAGGATTTTATGATAAAAATGTAAATGTAAATGGTATCGATAAACTTCAGGCGAGTTCACTTTTGCTTTATTGCGTTGGGTTATTTATGTCAGACAACTCTGGAATGACTAATGGATTCTGGGTTACACTGCACGTGAGAAGAGTTGGATTAAAATTATCTAGAAAATCGAGGCAAATTTTAATGTGCGAGAGGTAATCGTGGTGCGAAATGTAATTCAATGAAAAAACAAGTGGACTGTTATTTTTTTACAATTTTCTCTTTCGAATCGCATAAACAATGTGCTGTAAATCAACAACGAATTGTGCGGCCCCATCATATTCTGAAAGAATCAAGTGGGTATTGTTATCAATTTTTTGAGCCGAAGAATTTGACTAATTTTGGTGACAATTTTCTGAGTGATCGTTGAAAAATCGATTTTTGAAAAGATTTCAGTTTTTTCGAATCTCCATGAAAAATTGAATTTTAATTTGTGTCAATGAATAGAGTTTATTAAAGTTTATATTCATGAAAAAAATCATGAAATTCGTTTGATTCCTTGAACGAAAATTTCGATAAAAAATGAGGAAATTATCATTATCTTCGGAAGAGGTATTATTAAATTTATTGTCAACATAAATAGTATAAAAATATTGAACATTATAGAGTATTGTAACATGTAAAAAAGCGTCTCAGTGTAAATATTGCTGCTCTGCTATCTGAGCTTTGATCTGACACTTTGGCCCCAGGTGAAAAAACAATTTTTTTATTTCTTCATTTATAACGCCTCCGAGTGTTTCATTACGTTTGTTCGTCCTGAAAACACTGCCATTATCTTGAATAATTGCTATCTACCACTATTTACAGTCGTCATTTCATTAGAAAATTATCATAAATAAACCTCTTTATTTCGTTGAATCAAACGCTTATTTAATTAATTAAACATTCTTAAATAATAATAATAAAGAAATGGGCTGTTGCCGAAAGTGGACTTTCATTACCATCAATCACTCACCGCAACCACTTCATTACCGACCCCTCAGCTCCCCCGATAATGCACCCCCCGTCGGTGCCCAACCGACAAGTTTCCCAGTCCCCCAAAAATTCTAGGTTACGTCTAAGACCCGACTCACGTGTTCGTTCAGTCAACGCGTGTGAAACAAAGTGACAAAGTGCCCCAACTCTCAAGCCCCCACCCCTCCAAACCAAACCCCTAAAACAATTCCCCCAAAAGAATGTAAACCTCCCCAAAAATGGGCAAAAAAGGCTACAACTGGCGGGCGCGAAGTGCCCCGCAGATAGAAATCGAGACAAAATCCACAAAGAAAATTGCCATCGACATAGACCACGGGAAGGAGACCTACGACGAGTGCAACACCCTAGTGCTCCCCAGCAAAAAACGAAGGACAATCAAACGAGACAAAAAATCCCAGAGCGTGAAGCTCCTCTCGAAGAAGCACCGCAAGCACCTGGAGAAGGTGCTCGAGCGAAAAGAGAAGAAAGTTCGCAGAGCGACTCTCCTGGAGGGCCTAGCGCAGGTCCAGGCGACCCCGGAAGAGCTAAAACAGTACGTCTCGATCACCTCAGTGCAGACGAAAGGGCTGAAACGTCAGCGAGAGGAGGACGAGTCATCCCAGAGGCCAAAACACCTGGAGAACACCGACAACGATGACGAAACAGAGGAGACAATCAATGCGATCAGAGGCAGCAAGAAGCAGAGGTTGCAAGCTCTGAGTGAAGAATCATCGTCACAGGGGGCTTCAGACCCTAACGTCGTCGGTTACGAGGAATCAGCGAGTGAGGACGAGGTCTCGAGTGAAGAAAATGAAGAGAGTGATAAAGAAGATGATGAAGAGACCTCTGGAGTGCCTCAAGTTGTTGAAAACTCCAGGGAGTCGTCTTCAAGAGCTCCAGGAGACACTGCAACAGGAATAGCCCCAAAGTCTCCAGAAAAGTCTGAAAAACCTCTTGATCGTAAGCCTGCTGTCTTCGTCGCCCTGAACCGCCTCCCAGAGATCCAGAAAGCCAGACTGAAGCTGCCAGTCCTGGCCGAAGAGCAGATGATAGTCGAGGCTATAAACGATAATCCAGTGGTGATAATCACCGGTGAGACTGGCAGTGGCAAGACCACCCAAGTGCCCCAGTTCCTCTACGAGGCTGGCTACGCCAGGAGCAAAATCATCGGTGTCACTGAGCCCAGGAGGGTAGCTGCCATCTCCATGTCCAAGCGAGTCGCCGAGGAGATGAATCTGCCGACCTCAGAGGTCTCGTATCTCATTCGTTTCGAGGGGAACACAACGGACGATACGAGGATTAAATTCATGACTGATGGGGTGCTGCTGAAGGAAGTCCAGTCAGACTTCCTGTTGAGCAAGTACTCGGTGATCATTCTGGATGAGGCTCATGAGAGGAGTGTCTACACGGATATTCTGATAGGTTTGCTGTCGAGGATCGTGCCGATGAGGGCGAGGAGGAACGATCCACTCAAGCTGATTGTGATGTCAGCTACTCTGAGGGTCGAGGACTTCGTGGAGAACTCGAGGCTTTTCAAGGTCAAACCACCGCTGGTCAGAGTCGAGTCCAGGCAGTTTCCGGTTACCATTCATTTTAACAGAAGGACTAGTCATAATTATGTGGTGGATTGTATTAAGAAAGCTGTGAAGATTCATACGACTCTGCCCGAGGGGGGGATTCTGATTTTTCTTACTGGGCAGCAGGAGGTTAATACTGTTGTGAGGAGGCTGAGGAAGGCTTTTCCGCATAGGAAGAGAGCTTGGGAGAAGGGGAATAAGGGGGAGGGGAGTGGGAAGGAGAATGGGAACAGGCACAGGTCCGAGGAGAAAGAATTCGCGGATGGTGACGCCAATGAAGATTCAGGGGATGGAGCAGAGTTGAAGACTAGGAAAGTTTTGGAAGAGAAGAAGAAGAGGGGAAAATGTGGGAATGGAGGGGACGAGGGAATTAATCCTGAAAAATCGTCGAAGCTTCCGAAGAATGGAGAAGATGTCAAGTCCAAGAAATCTTCAATATTCAAGAAGAAACACTCCACGGGAGATGAAGACGACAGTGAAAATTCAGGGGATGGAACAGAGTTGAATCCTAAGAAAGTTTTGAAACAGAAGAAGAAAAAGAAAAAATCTAGGAATGAAGTGGAAGAGGGAATGAATCCTGGAAAATCCTCGAAGCTTTCGAACACTGAAGAAGATGAAGAGGACGTCAATTCCAAAATTGAGACATCAGAGGAGGGAACAGACTCTGACGAAGACTTTCACCCCAAGACCGCCCTGAGCCGTCTCAGGCATAAGTTGAAGTCGCTTCCAAAGGATCTGCCCACCATAAACCTAGACAACTACTCGGCCACCCCCACGGACGACACCCAGGAGGACCTCTTCTCCGAGGACGACGATGACCCTGACGTTCAGCTGGATGAGGACGAGGAGGACGACGATTTTGTTCTGGAACTGCACGATGTCTCTACGTCGCAGCCCCTCTGGGTCCTGCCTCTGTACTCTCTTCTGCCGGCTCACAAGCAGGTCAGAGTCTTCCAGAAGGTCCCAGAGGGCTGCAGACTCTGCGTTGTATCGACGAACGTTGCTGAGACGTCGCTGACCATTCCCAACATCAAGTACGTGGTCGACAGTGGCCGCTGCAAGACCAGGATGTACGATAAAGTCACTGGGGTGAGCACCTTCAAGGTGACTTACACCAGCCAGGCTGGGGCCAATCAGCGAGCCGGGAGGGCTGGGAGGATGGGCCCTGGCCACTGCTATCGACTCTACTCCTCAGCGGTTTTCAATGATCAGTTTGAGAAGTTTTCGGTGCCTGAGATTCAGAGGAAACCGGTGGATGATCTGGTGCTGCAGATGAAGGTCATGAACATTGTGAAGGTGATTAAACAATTTAAATGTTCATGGCACTTTCCTTTAGGAGGAAAAGGGGTTTTTCGTGCAATGCAAATTCTTCAATTTTTTTTGTTTCTTTTTATTTCATTTTTGATTTTTTCTATTTTATTTTGTTTCATTTTGTTTTATGTGGAGGAATTTCTATAGAAAATGGGTCAACGGAAAAAATTGTGTAGAAAGATGAAATTCTAATGATTTTTTCTTCAAATGAGTTTCCATTTTCTGTCCAATTCGCTAGGTTTTCCTCAAAAAACCTCATCTGAAGGGATTTACCAATCAAATCCTTGTGATTAATTATTCATTACGTCGAGTGAATATCACTTTATAATTCTGCAGGTGGTGAATTTTCCGTTTCCCTCTCCTCCTGATGCGACTCAGCTGATAACTGCGGAGAAACGACTGAGGATTCTGGGGGCTCTCGAGGATCACCCGACTAATGTCAAGGATTATTCAGCTAAAGTTACGAAACTTGGAAGGAGCATCTCAGCATTCCCTGTGGCTCCGCGGTTTGGGAAGATGCTGGCTATTTCTCAACAGGAGAATCTTCTCAAATTCACTATTTGCATGGTATCGGCACTATCCGTTCAGGAGCTTTTGATCGACGGCAGAATAGGGTGAGTTATTTTAGCAATTTGAATTGAAAAATCTATGATCTAAAAAAAAATTATTTAGAGCATTCAAACAATCATTTTTTTAAATATTCGTTGTAATATTTCTACATTTACAAAAAAAATTCTTGTGTCTCTGAAAAAATACTTTCATTTTTTTTAATGTATATTTTATTGTTGACTCCATCACAGAAAGTTTCCAAAATCTATTTAATTTCTGTTTTATGAACAAAAATTCGTAGATATCACTCAACAGTTCGAAATAATGAACTTGGAGTAGCAAAAATTCCCCTAAAACTTATTCCCCAGGAAGAACATGGAAGGATCGGAGGACAAAACCCCAGCCAAGAAATGGCAGCAAACGAGAAGATTCTGGGCAGGCACCGGCAACAGTCTCCTCCTGGGTGACCCCATGGTCCTGATCAGAGCCATTGGAGCTGCCGAGTACTCCGAGGCCAGTGGAGGACTTCCAAAGTTCTGCGCAGACAACGGTTTGCGGCCGAAAGCCATAGCCGAAGTGAAAAAGCTTCGGCATCAGCTCACGAACGAAATCTCCCTGAACATTCCCTCGTTGCAGGTCGTCATTGACCCCAACATGTCACCGCCCACAGATACTGAAGCCAAACAGCTGCGGCAGATTGTCCTGGCGGGGATGGCGGACCAGGTCGCGAGGAAAATGTCCCCAGATGAGATCAAGGAAGAGGAGGACAAGTCCAAGTTCAGATTTGCCTACAAGACGATGGAGATGGAGGAGCCTGTGTTCATGCACTTGAACTGCGTCCTGAGGAGGAGTGCTCCTGAGTGGGTGGTGTACCAGGAGATCTACGAGACGAACAAGATCTACATGAGGGGAGTGACTGCCATCGAGCCTGAGTGGCTGCCCAAGTTCGTTCCTGGATTGTGCAGGATGGGGGAGCCCATGGTGGATCCTGCCCCCAGGTGGGACGACGAGAGTGGAAAGGTCATGTGTCACTTGAGTGGAAGCTTTGGGAGGGCTGGGTGGGAACTGCCTGCCATGGAGGTGGAGTTCCCTGCGGGGGTGGAGGGCGTCAGGTGGTTTGCAAGGTTCCTGCTGGAGGGGAAGGTCTGTGGGAAGCTGAAGAGGTTCGTCAAGGTTCTGCTGTCGAATCCCAGTAGTGTCAATAAATCCTGGGCCAAGCTGTTGCCCAGGACCGAGGGGTTGACCAGGAGTTTGTTAGGGAGGGGGATCATGAGCAGGGAGAGGCTGCTGGAGGTCTGGGGGGAGGACAGGGGCTTTTTGCTGGAGAGTTACAAGAAGTGGGTGCCTGAGGCTGCTCATGCGGAGGTCTGTGCAATGTGGCCTCCTGTGTGATTGGGGTTTTTCGAACTGGTGATGTCGAGAGAGTGAATGAGGACGGTTTGAGTAAAATAGGCTTCTTGATGATTCTGCAATTCTCTGTTACTTGGATAATGAAGGGATCATTAGTCAATTTTGTAATTAATAAAAATTCAATATATGACACTTCGCGATTCATTATGGAATTGCCTCGGGAAGATTGGATAAATTGTCATCACTCGAAATCTACTGATGAATTATCATTTTTATTCTTTCATTAAAAGAAGAATTGAATGTACAATTGCTTTAGTCTATTGTATTTATAAACAAATTAGAGGAGTCATTTCAGGGAAATAATGTGTGCGGTACTGAAGACTAGAGTTAAAAGTGACTCAATGAATCATAATCCAACAGTTTGTAGTTTTTTGGTTTGAGCGCATGAATCGTCACTAATTAATGATGAATCTGTCAATGTGAAATTGATGAAAATCATGTGTCGTCATTCACATTGTGAATATAAATAAATGCCTATAATGTATAGAATTACGCTTCTATTGTTGTTTTCTCCTTATGGACACATTTGGCAGTCTGCTGGCTCAGCCAATGACTTTGTTAATTAGAATTTGAATATCCTTCGAGATTGGCGATATTTTCAATCTGCTTTTACTGCTTTCTTATCCTTTTTCTCTTTTCTTTTGATTGGATTCTCCTTGCAGGTTTTGTAGACGTTGTTGAGATCGAAGGCAGCTTTTATGTTATCCTGAAAGTAAATACTTTATGGATCAACGAGGACAATTGAATAATTTTTGCATTATTAGTGATTTAATGACTTGATTAATTGCAGTCTTATAAATTATTGAGTTTTTCTATCCTCATATATTGTTGTATGAAATTAGTGAATTATCTTGAAATCCTGCAGAAAGCTAATGAAAATGCGTAACGAACCAATGAAAATAGGAATTTGACTAGTTTCCCCTTGCTATCGGCGTAGGGCCTCCGTTCTATTTCCTTCCCATCCTTGAAGAGAAGTATCGAGGGCAACTGTTTACTGGTGCTGGCATCACTGACGTGGTACTTGGCTGCTGCGTCCGGGTATCTCCCAATGTCGACCTTTCCGAATTTGAAATTTTCCAAGGCATATCTGATCAACAGAAAAGAATGTTCGGGGGTTGACACGAGATTTACGAGGTTTTGGGGGCTGAGGAGAGGGCACATGCACTAAAAAATTTAATAGAAAAACCCAGCGAATTCGATTTCTATTGAAATATTTTCCATAGAATTTCCTCGGTTCAAATTTTCCCAGTTTTATTCATTTTATTTTTCTTCTTTTCATCAAGAAAATCAAATTAAAAAATTTGGATGATTTGAGCTGAGGAAATTCTATAAAAAATCGTGTTCTATTGAATTTTTTATAAAATGTTTTCTACTGAGCATTTCAGTAGAATCAGACACAAAGTAAGAGAAAGTTCAATGGAAATCTAATAGAATTGGCTAGGGTTTTCTATGAAATTTTTTCAGACGTGGAGACTCACTCAGCTGACAGTTGAGAAAACGTTGGGGCGAAGTTGACGCAGGCTGGGTTCCAAGCTGTGTAGAAGGCGACAATCCAGACAATTCTCGTGTCTCTATTCAATTCCTCCTGGAGGCCAGTTGCACCTCTCAGGTAAGTTATGTTCTCAGGGCCCTGGTACATTGGTTCCGGCAGCACGAGACCACAAACTGAGAATAAAAAAATTAAAGTGATAGCAAACTATCAGGAACAAACGAGAAAATTCTGAAGGAATTACTATTATTTATTCATTAATTTTTTTCATTATTGGGCACAAAACCAATCGGTTTATCCAACTGTAAGAATTATTGAAAAAACACTAATGCTGATTTAAATTGTTAATTTAAAGAAAAAAAATCAAGAGATATTTTTTGTAGAAAACGAAATTCCTTTTTAAAAATTTTCTCAAACAAATTATTCACTACGAAAAATAAAACTAATCGTCTTTAATCATAACAGCTCCAATCTAATTATCAGTTAATTAAACTCATCTAAAAATACTCACGAGTAATAATGATAGCGAACAAAATGCCACAGCGTATGTCAGCATAGAACCACAAAATGAGATTAGCAACCTTTGTGTAAACAAAGCTGGAGGACAAGTAATTTATCATCGTGACACTCCCAGCCTTCCTCGTCCTGAATGATATGACTATTACCAGAAAGAACAGGATCTCCATCTCCCTCTGCGACAAAACAACGAAATAATTATTCAACTGTTGTCCCTCAACGCAACAATCCCTGTTCAATCATCAATCATCATTGATACATACCCCCTCCAGTTCACAGTCAGTCTCATTGAAGATGAATTCACAAATGAATGTTACTTTTTTCACGATCATGTATGAGAGACTGAGGAGAATGTTGATCAAATAATACGGCTTCACCAGTAGTTTCAAGTCCTTCTTGAAAGCCATTGTTCAATTTTTCGATTGTTTATCTCTCGATGTGGCAAAAAAAAATCAGGGGATCGAGGTGATTATGCCCTCAAATCGGTCAATGAAGTGGTGAAGTTGTTACAAAAATTCGCTCCAATTCATTCATTCAGAGGATAATTATGCGAAATGATTAAAAGTTGTTGGTAACTATTTCTTCAGATGAGTATTCAGGGGCTGAAGGAAGAGATTAAGATCCTTTTTGTTATGAAATTTGCTTCAATTATTCTCTCATTGACTTTCTGAACAATTTGTTTGTCCGTCGAAGGCTGAATAATCGAGTAATTTGTGTTTATGTCCTCAAGTGCTTCTGCAAGAGGGCAACAAAGTCTTCGAGATTTTTTTCGTCAATTAAAATACAGTCTACACTAATTTTGTATCTAAAATTTTGTTAGCCTCCAAGAGCCCAATAAAATCTCTAAAACTTTTTTTCCCACTGGAAACTCACTTGGATTAATTCTCCCAAGCACTGATAATCCAGACTAATTGTGTAATCTGTGTAATAAACCCCTCACATGCAACTCCAAAAGCTCGACAAAGTATTCTCAGCCCTTTTCATCACTTAAAATTCACTCCAATCAGTCAAAATTAATATTCAAGCACTTATCATTGACTCATTTTAGCTATTAAAAATTAAATCCAATTCATTCCGTCTCTTATTTTCACTCTTTTATGGATTAATTGGAGTGTAAACGCCTGCACGTCCCCTCACCCACATCTGTCAACAGAAATAGAGCTCCAAGGCGTTAAAAGATGGTCCTATTTGCTTCGTGAATCTTCGTTTTTTTTTTTTCATTAGCTTTCGGAGGTGCACGCCGTCTCCAGGCACTTCACGGCACAATCGCCTGGCCTGGAGGGGGGGGGGGCGTCTGTTTTTTGGACGCGTTCTAGGGAAAATGGCGACAGTACGGAATGCCGTGGAACAGATGGACACGGAAATTTGCGGACACATTCCCGGATGGGCAGATTCTGATAAGGTGGTCAAAAAGGGCTCGGTATTGGAGAAATCTTCAGGAAACGATTTACCAGTCGACATGTCGAAATGAAAAATTTTCACTTTCACCTGGGCCCAGGGTGTCAGACCTTGGATTTTTTCAGGGGGAAATGAGAATAATCCCGGCATCTCACCGTGCCGCTGCACTAAACATGTCGGCTAGCAAATCATTTCTTGAAGATTTCTCCAATACCGAGCCCTTTTTAACCACCTTATCAGAACCTGCCCATCTGGGAATGTGTCCAAAAATTTCCGTGCCCTTCTGTTCCACCGGGTTCCGCACTGTCGCCATTTTCCCTAGAACGTGTCTATTGAGAAGATACAAACGCGCCCCCCCCCCAGCCAATCGTTTGTTGGAATGGCTGTGTTGTCTGGCGTTCTCCTGAAACAACCACGAAATCATGGAAAATAAGAGATAAAACATTATTTCGGTGTTTTTTATGCTTTCGTGAGGGAAAATAACTCAGTGCTACGTGCTATCGATTTTATTGAATTTTTTTTGAGACTACTGAGGAAAGATTTGTTTGTGATAATGGATCAGGCACCTTCAGGTAATTCAGGGAATGTGCGACCGGTGGATTTTCACGTTGTGGGGATTTTTCATTATATTTCATGAATTTGCGAGGGTGGGAGCGGCAGAAGGGGATGGAAACGTCTACTTTAAGGTGAATTGTTGAAAAAAATCGGGGAAAATCACGTAAAAACATCTCTTGGGCGGTTTAATTTGTTGTCCTGGGGAGTGAGGTTAGGCCGAGGTTTTTTATCTTTCAAGAATTTTTTTTCATCATTTTTTGGACATAAGGTTTACGAAGACATCTGTTTTTTGTTTTTTTGAGGGGCGAGAATCGTTTTTCGTGTATATCTTGAAAAAGGAGGGAGATGGTAAAATTTTTGTAAATAAATTTTTTTGGAGAGGAAATTGAGAGCTACAAAAATTGTCTAGGTGGAGATTTCAATATCTCCAACCGATTTTGAGAGATTTCGAAAAAACCGATTTTGAAAATGAAATTTAAAGAGGTGGGTGGAAAAGGCCGCTTCTATCGTTGATATCTCGAGATTGGCAGAGAGAAATTGGACGATTCTTCTTTCATTTTGAAGCCTGAAAAAATACCTTCAAAATGAGATTTAACTCGTGCAAATCGCACCGTTCAGTCAGGAGATATTGAAGATTTAGGAACGATCATTTCACAATATTTCTCATTTTCCTGTGGTTTTTTGTTTCTTTTTTATTCTGACAATTTGTGGAATAATTTTGTTGATGATGGGGTGTGGATTATTTTGTAGATAATGAGCTGAGGAAGATCATTGACAAACTGGCCCAGTTTGTTGCTCGGAATGGACCAGAGTTTGAGCAGATGACGAAAAACAAGCAGAAGGACAATCCTAAATTCAGTTTTTTGTTCGGAGGAGAATACTTCAATTATTATCAGTACAAAGTGACGACTGAGCAAGCGAGTAAGTCCATGAAAATATTCGCTCTTTTCTAAGTAAATGAGGATTTTACAAAAGTATTTCGATACATTTGTGGGCTCATTCAGTAGTGGAATTATGAAATCTAATAAAACAAGTTTAATTGTCTGGTAATTTGGCAATCATTTTGGGAATAAGTAATGTAAGAGCACTGAGAGAAAGAATTAGTTCCGCCGAAAAAATAATCCCCAAACAATCAATGTTCCACCCCCAAAAAAATAAGGTTTTCCAAAGTTTAAGTTTACAATTTAAATTATTTATTCATAAACAACAAATATTTAAAGAATAACAATTCTGTGCAAAATGTAATTTAAATAACGCTGAATATTCATGATCTTTTCAAATTTTTCTCACGCAATTTAATTGACAATTTGTACACAATATCTCTAAACCACACAATTACTCATACTGGAATGATCTGTAGATCAGCTCCGCTGTTCTTCCTCAATAATTGAATAATAAATAAGACCGTAGAGTCAACTAAATTCCTCAAAAAATAACCATACTATGAATAATCACGTGAACCCCCTTCACCCGTAGTCCTGGTGTCGCTAAAACACGGGGTGAGTGCCCCTCCCCCCCCCTGATCCCCGTCAGCAAATAAAACCCCTAAATACCCCCCGAATAATTCACCAATAATTCGTTTCCAGTTTTAAAGCAAAAGGAAATAAATCCAATGCAAAATGCAGATCCACGTTTAAACGTTTCGCAGCAGCAGCAGCAAGTAACAGGCCAACCAGTTGCCCAGCTCAATAATGTCACCCTAAATACCCAGAACAACGGTTTGAGCCAAGTTGGTCCTGTTGGTGTGATACCATCGATACAGAATGCCGTGCCACCCGCTGGTATTGGACCTGTTGGCAGTGTTATGAGTGGTAATCCAACGATGGGTGGACCTGGTCCTGGTGTTGGTATAAATGGGCCACCAGCCTGGTTGCAAAATGAATTGCAGAATCTACAGACACAGCAGTCAACACTTCAGGAGCAGGTGAAGCAGTCTGGTGTTAATTTGGGGGCACAGCATGCTGCACTTATGGCCCAACAGCAGGGGAGAGTTGAGGAGGCTGTGAGACAGGCGCAGGAGACAGCACTGCAGAGCTCTGCACAGACAACAGAGACTAATCTCATTGCTTTTGATGCTGTTCTTCAGCCTATTATTGACAGTTGCACTAAGGATAGTATTAGCACTGGAAAGGCCTGGATTTTACAGTACAGTATCACTCCTGCCAGTAATCAGGTCATTGCTGAGCATTTGTTGAAGAGGTGATTTTTTTTTTCATTTAGCACTTTTATTTTTAATGAGTTGAGGGGGGGAGGGCGTGAAGGTCTCAAACATGTGGCTCTTGATTAGATTTCGTCGTTTTAAATAATTCATATTTTTTAGGTGAATAGTAAAATGTAATTTATATTTTTATTTGAAGCAAATGAGCAGTTTTTTGAATGTAAAAGAATATTTTATGAGCTAGAAATAAAATAATTGCTCTTTTGCTAAAAAGTCAGAATATGTGATTTTTAGATAGAGTCTGTATGTGGTCTTTTTTTTCATTTTTTTAATCTCATGAATTTTTTCAGGAATGTAGCCTTTAATAAGCTTATTCACTGACGTCAATTAAAATTCAAAATTCATTGAAGTGTTTATGAAAAGCATTGGTCTTAGAATTGACTCATCTCGTTTTAAACCTTCACTATTGAATTTTCTGTTCCTAAAAAAATACTAATTTGGATGAAAGTATTTATTTATTATTTCTCATTATTAGGGTGATTCAGAGCACAACTTTTAATCAGAAACTTCACATCATTTACCTCGTTAACGACGTCCTGCATCATTGGTGAGCGAAATTATTTTTCAAATGAAAAAACCACATGTTTTCCCTCAAATTCTTTCAGTAACAAATCAATCAAATCATCGTCTTCATGATATTATTAACTCGATTCGTGGTTCCAGTGCTAGAAAAAAGACTGGAGATTTGAGGAAAGCAATGGAAAACGTAGTAGTCCCCATGTTCTGCAACACATCATTAGCAGCGACTGACGATCAACTGACAAAATTAAATAAACTCCTGAGTCTCTGGGAGTCGAAAAATAATTATTTCGACGAGGGTATTATTGAGAAACTCAAGCAGCCCAGCACCTCGTGGTCTGACTACCAAGCGAGTCTTGTGTCGCAGTTTGCCAGTGCCATCACTCCAATCACGACAACCACGAAACAGACTTATGATAATTATCAGGCGCAGCATCAGGCATTCGTCGAGCATGCGAAGAATCAAATTGCTAATATTGAACAACGAAAAAGAGCTATTGAGCAGCAGCTCATGGCACCTGCACCACCGCCAATGCCACCAATGGTGAGAACTTCATTCGATGAATGAACATTAAACATTCCTAAAGAGTTATCGTCATATTCACCTCTTCTTTTTCAATTTCTCTATTTTTGGTTTATAAAACAAAATAATTATCTTGATTTTTCTTTATGGCTTTACTGATGAATAAATATTGTAATGCATTGTTAACTACTCCATTTTTAATGAATAAAACTTGTGGTTAACTTGATATTATTTTTTTATTTTTGTGTGCATTCAAAAATGCATGAAATTTGAAATCGTTCGTTAATTATGGAAATTATCCGATGAAATTCTCCATAAAAATGTTTTCTGAGTTTTTTTCCTCAAGTGAACGGGCAATTGCTATCAAGGCAGATGTTAAATTAAATTTTCAGGTTTTATGGATTTTTGAATGTTTTTATGAATTTATTTACTCGTTTGTGATTGTGAGGATTATTCAAGGTGATATAATTTTGTGTTTAGGTGCCAAATCAGCAGAATATGAGCCTGCCACCGAGCCACTCAGGCCCACCACCTCCAATAGCTGGGGATTTGAATTTCACTCAGCCACCACCTGGATGGGGTGTGCAACAACCCCCAGGGCCACCTCCATTTGCAACAGTACCACTGCCAGATCTGTCAAAACCACCACCTGGTTTTGGACCACCGCCAGTGTTACATGAGCCCTCGGTAGAGGATCTCATGCCCAGTATGCCTTATTTCGAGCTGCCAGCTGGCCTCATGGTGCCACTCATCAAGCTTGAGGATGGCGAGTACAAGCCACTGGATCCTGATGCCATCAGGCTACCACCACCAGCACCACCCAGTGATCGACTTGTTGCTGCTGTCGAGGCATTCTATGCACCACCCAATCATGATTCTCCCAGGGATAGGTGAGTGCAGTGGTTTATCTGAAATTTTTTTATTCGTTGGAAATTCACAATCATGAATTTACCGGGATGCATTCTTTTAAATTTTAATTAATGGCGATCGATAGGGCTCAACAATACCTACATTTGAAAAAAAAATTCAATTCCATCCATTCATTAGCGAACAATTGAAGAAAAACTTTGTTACACGTACGGCCGAGTTCTAAAAATTGCATTTTTAGTCGATATAACAGAAAAAAAAAACCAAAAAATAAATTTGAACGATTACAGTGCTTCATTCGGAATAAAAAAATTGTCCCCTCTATACAGACGACAAATATTTTCATTTCAAAATGCACATTAGGCTAATGCGAATTGACTTCAACTAAAAATTAAAAATTTATGAAGAAAAAATAAAATTCCACCTGTATAAACGAAGAATGAGCGTCATATGACGGCTCATGTGCACCTGCATCCCTGCACGTAACATTTGAATCCCCAAAAATAAGAATCCCTCAAAAAACCTCATTATTCCAGTGACGGATGGGAGAAACTCGGTCTCTACGAGTACTACAAAGCGAAGAACGTGGCTCGAAAGCGAAAAGAAGAGGACGTTCTGTCAGGCGCTCGTGAGAAGTCGAGATCGCCGTCCCCAATACTCCGGGCGCGCTCGAAGAGCCCGAGTCCACCAAAGAAACGTTACAGAAGTAAATCGCGTTCTCGATCGCGGTCTAGGTCCCGGGGGCGAAGTAAATCGCGCTCACCTACCTCCAATCATCGGCGAAACAGTCGCACTGGTGCGCACAGTACACACAACAGCAGAAATCGAAGGAGAAGGAATAGCAATAAGGAGAGGAGTCCGGACAGGAGGGGTGAGAGGGAGCGAAGTCCAACACCTCCGAGTTTTCTCGGGTCAACTTACAGCAAAGGACCTGCCGAGTCTTCCCTGGATGAGAGCAACAAGGGCCATCAGCTGCTGAAGAAGATGGGGTGGGGTGGGGCGGGTCTGGGGGCCAATGAGCAGGGAATCGAGGCGCCGATTTCGGGGGGCGAGATCAGGGACAGGAATGATCAGTACAAAGGGGTTGGCATCAACCTCAATGATCCCTATGAGAACTTCAGGAAGAGCAAGGGACAGGCTTTCATCACGAGGATGAAGGCCAGGGCTGAGGAGAGGGCTGAAGAGAGGGGGGACAGGGATTGAGGGGGCGGAGTGGAGGACAAATTCGAAAGTTCTAAAAATTGATGACAGGAGAATTTCAAGATTTACAAAAAATTAAAAGTAAAAATGGTAAAATCGTATGTGAACTTGACTAGAATTTTGTGAACGCATTTTTTGCAGAGAATGGGATTTTTTTATTTTGTTCCATTTCGTGACAGAATTCTCAAGAGTTTCAGTGGTTTCATGGTTTATCGTTCAGCATGGATTGACGAACGTTGCATTCCTGTTCTCATTAGCGTGATTGGGGATTTAACGGTGGGATGATAGACACGTGGCTGGGAAATTGTAATTATAAATTTTGAGGATATTAGAAGTACTGTTTTTACGAGTAGATTAATCAATTGTGTTTGATTATTGGAATTTGTTGGAGTTGAGTACGATTGTAAATACTCCAATGAGGTGAGGATGGATGTAATGTACAAAGAATTAATTATTGTTCAATAAGAAAGGAGGAACTTAATTTTATTTGAGGAATTTTTTATTTACCCTTATTCTAGTTCTCGCAGGTATAGCATGTGCAGGAGACGTCCTCCAGTGGGATCAATCCTATTGCAGTCGTGTTCTCATCAGAAGGATTGAATAATTCTCATTGAATTAAATTGAGGAACGGGACAGTTTCCAAATTTTCTGCCATTTTTCATGTTTATGCTACTCTTATAATATTTGAAAATTCGTGGATTTTCTCAAAGATTCATGTGAAATTCACGGGCGTTCTACAAAATTACCAGAAAATTCTGGATAATTCGAGGCTTTGCAAAAAAAAAATTAGGAAAATTCTCAACAAATCGTAATTTTCAAATAAAAAATAAAATGCAGAAGAACTGAATTGCCGGGCGACCCCTCAAGGGTCGAGAACGAATAAAATAAGAGCTTATGCTTTAAAATAAGAGAAGGCAATCGGCACTGAATTTCAGTGAAAATTTTTTATAGAATTATTTCTCTCCGCAAATTTTCCCAAATAAAAAAATTCCCAAATTCGATGATTCCAGAATCAATTCTCCGTCATTACCACGTATCTCCGATTTCTAATTAACCTCGTGACGTCAAGTGTCCATCACAACTAAAAAGAACCTTCCAAAGGCAACTCAAAACTAATTAAAAATTCATCTTTCTTTTTTCTCTTAAAATTCATTCCTTTCCCTCGAAATCGAAATTTTCATTAAACCGTCATGCAGTAATGATCGCGACAGCATGTGATACCGAGGCATAAATAATGATAAAAATATGTTTCAAGCAGAATTGCAATCACCCTCTTGAATCCCCGTGAACTCCCCCCCGAGCAGATACAGCAAACCGACTGTAACCAGACCAGAACCGGATTCACTGTCGATAATCGTTCGACTCTGTAAGTTGTAAACAAAGCGAGTATCGAAGGCCATTTGCAATTAATGTGAAGGGAGAAATGAAGGGATGAGTGCCCCTCTTTCCGGCTCATTATTCCCATCGTTTTCCGAACCCTTCTGCGCCTCCGAGAATCGTCCCAGGCGGTTTACGTGAATTCACTGGGCTTTAAAATTTGGTTTTGAGGTCAAACTTTCGATTTCAATGAGGAAAAACATGGGGAGTTTATCTAACGCTCGTGTTATCGCTCGGTTATGCCACGTTCGGCTTAAAACGTGACTCCTTGGGGTCTTCTGTACGTGTCAAGCGTGATTATGTGATAGAACTCACGTTTCATCATCCAACGAGGCTATTGACGGATGATGTAAAGGTTTTTATTTAGTAGTGATTTTTTTTTCTACAGTTCGTTTAATGTCATTTTGAAGTGCCCGAAAAAATAATTTTCCTCGTCGATGGGAATTAGGCATTGATGAGGAAAAAGGAATTTATCGGTATCTGCATGATTTGGGATCATAAATTCCAACTATTTGCATTCGTTGCACTTTTTACAATAGAAATAAATAAAGAATTTCGGAAAAAATGATTTAATTTTTTTTTTCACTTTGAATTTTTTTTATTCACTCGGGAGAAAACGATTTGAGGAAATTTTTGTTTACGTTAAAAAAATAGTTTTACTTGTTTCTTTGCATCGGGATTACTCACTCGGGACTCGGGATGACGCATCGTCTCAGGCGATGAATTTTAATCGTTTCGATGGAGGCTCATAATTTTTTCTCACATTCCCGCGTGTATTAATATTCATACACGTATAAATAGTATTGCTATGTCGACAGAGTGAGAGTGACCGCGTTGTATTCAACGTGATCTCGAGAGAAGGGCACGCCTCGGCTCGCCGAGTCACGCGCCCGACCACGCTTTACCCTTCTCAGCACGTGCGCGCAATGTGCGCTGAACCGGTGCGCGGGAAAAAATTTTTATATTTTCATACTTAGTCATAGAGATATCTGAAAAACTCCATTCACTTTTATTTGTATCGGATGGAAATCCCGAAGAACAGAAGCAAAAATACATTTTGTGAATTGAAAATTTAATTTTGAAATTTTTCCGTTGGCTGAATATATGCAATTAGTTTTATGATAAATGATTTCGGGAAAAATGTGGGTCGTTTTTTGTTGGATGCACATGTCACTCATTCTCGAAATTGCATTCTTTGTCGTCAGTATGAAATTTTTTATTCAGAAATTAAACGGTGCGAAAATGCAATTTTTTTTTAATTGATCATCAAAATAATTGAAAGTAAACAATTATTTGGCTTTGAGCAGAAAATATTACTAGATAAATCCGGAATTAATAAATGTGAAAATATTAGAAGAATTTCGTTTATTTTTTAATTGACCTTGATTAAGTAAAAGATTGAGTAAAAGAGTTTATGAAACATTTTTCGTTGGGAATTTTCATTGTCCTATGAACCTGAGAAATCAAATTTCATCGAATATTCAGAACCCCGACTGATTTATCAATAACAAGATCAAAGGAAATTCCACGTAAATTATTCGCTGATAAAAATTTCAAGATTTTCTACTGAAAAATTCCAAGAGTAATTTTCTAACAGTAAAAATAATATTAAAAATCCACTGTATTTTCATTCTGAAATACTATAAATAACCCCAGAGACAAATTTCAACTCATTCCCCCAATTTTAGTTACTCGCTCTATTAAAAATGAGAAGATTACCCCAATAACTCAAGAAAACAAATAAAATCAGGGCGTGAAGAGAATGCAGTGGGTCTCTCAGCAGTCCCAACGCATAATTACGAGTGAATGTTCGAATTCGTCCAAGGCCACCTCATCCTAGTTAGGAGTTGTAAAGTGGAATATTTCATTACACCCATAACGAGGATCACGTCCTCGGCTGTTACGGAACGAGCTAGCAAAACACTTTACCTCTCATCTGTTGTAAGAGTCACGTTTATCTACGCATTGTCGATGTCAGCGGCGAGAGAGGAAAATAGGAGGGAGTGGAAGAAATTGTGTTTGAGGGGACATAGAAGACACAATAAACACCTGAAACAAAAGCGAGTAATTCATTGCTTCCTCTCCCCGTTGCATTCGTCAAGTTCAAATAGATGGGGACTTACGTAAATTTGAATGGAGTTTTCCTTTGTTCGGAGGGGAGATGCAAATTTTGAATTTACATTGGTATTCGCGGCGAGCCCCCTCGACGGAAATTGAGGAATTTTTTTTGCTGGTTGAAGTTGCGGTGGATTAGTGGCTCTCAATTGTGGAAATTTTTTAAGGATTTTTTCGAGAATATCTCGGAAGTAAATGAATTTGTTGTGTTTGGACAACGGCTGAAGTTATAATTATTTTAATATTTGGGACAAGTTGCTAAATGAGGCTGACGGCTTAGCCGCTTGTGCGACGGATGATATATCTGAGCAATTTCCCATTCCATATTCAGATTTCCGAAACTATTTTAAAGCCGACGAAATCAGCACGACAAATAGAATTCTGACTCAAGACACGAATAACAATGAGAAACAAGTGGGAATTCATTATATCATGTATAATTCATTGTTTATTCCATTTTATTAAATTATTTTGTTTAATTATCGTAATTATCTTGTCGTTTATAGCCTTCATCTTCGAACTCGGTCAAAAGTACATCCAAACAAATTTTTCAAGCCGTCATTCAATCAATTCAGAACATTTTTTAGTTATCATGCGGCAACCGATTCCAGAAAAAATTCGAAAATTTAACAAATTATCGATGAATTAAATTTCAATTTCATCCATTCCAAATTCAATTCCATAATGTTCAAAATTGAATTTACGTTTATACTACTGCAATGTCTCTCCTCTGATAATCACTAGTCAATTGTCCGTGGATTTGTAATTTTTTCTCACAATTTTCATCGAATCCGACGATAATTTTCATAAATTGCAACAATGTATCGAAATAAGAAAGCCACGTGTTGTCGATAAATCAAAAAATGAAAATAGAATGAAGTATCATTGCTACAGATCGAGTTTATTTTCTCCCGGGTCGGTCAGAAAATACACAGTGTTATTTAAAGCCCGTCGTTCTTCAATCCCATGCACGTGTAACTCCCTCGATATTCAACGCATACTCCACTCATTCTCATCCGATAAAAACTCGTGGAGGGGAAAATAACGCTGAAGAAGGAGCAGATAGTTTCACCTGACTCAGATCGACTACTTTTTTTCCCTCGTGACTATTTTTTTCCACTTTTTAATGCCTATCGTCTTCGGCATATTCGACTCGCCATGATATCCTCGGACGGTTACGTATATGTCGCTTTGACGTGTATCTGACGTACGTGACTGGAGAATCAACGCCGGTGGGAATGAATTTGTGAGTGGATGTGATAAGAAAATTGATAAGGACTGAACAATGCCTGTGGGGTCTTATTTTTGTGTTACAGGAACTGATGACGCGCCTCTATTTTTTGAAATAAATGCGCCTATTTGCGTTTAGTCAACGATTTGTCAACTATTTATTTCATTTTTTATTTGCGTTAGTCTAGACTGATATTCGTTATCTAGACGATCACTTATCAATATATTCGATGCGTTTATTGCCTAAAAAAATTAGTTTTCCGAAAGTTTAAACAATTTCAATCATTTATTTGTAAACAACGAATGCTTTAAAAAATAATAAATCCGTGCAATGATTTTTTACACAATTTTTCCCTCACAATTTAATTAAGTTTGTTATTTTATTATAATTTTATGGCTGATTCCTTTTTATTTGACTCAGCCAATTAATCCCCCACCTCCTCATGCTGCCCCAGACTGTGCAAATTCCGCAGAATAATACAAAAACCTCATTATCACCCACGATAATAAGGATGAATTAATTTAAATTCGATGTGTCTCGAGTTACGTATCATCAGTCAACGAGTGAAAAACAATCCCGTGGTTACGAATATTATCAGGAGAAAATGCCAGCGTGCCGAATGGAAGTTATATATAATTCTCGGTATGAGTTCAGCGGTGCATGTGTGTGAGAGCTGCAGTCGGGAATTGAGCGAGAGGAGAAATTGAGGGGCAGACGGAGAGGAGGTATGAGAGCGCGTGACAGGACACGTGACCCGCAAAAGCACACGGTGATCGCGTGACCGGGGCTGTGACGTCACGCGCACGTGTCACACAGTGTGGTTGGCGAAGTGAGGTGCCACGATTCCGCCCACCCCGTGCAGCGCCGCTCAGGTGCGTCTCAATTTCAGGTGATTTTGGGTCCGTTGCCACTCTGAATAATTATTTCAATTTTGCAGAAAAATAAAAGCTCCAGTTCTCGGGGTGAAGTCACTGGTTTTGAGGATCCCATGACTCGAACATGTTTTTTTTTTGAAAATAAGACGTTATTCACGCAATTTCGGACGGAAAAAAATTTGACTTTTGTCTTTATGCAATTGGAAATTCTATCACTTCAATACTTGACTCATTTATTTTTCAATTATTTTAAAATGACTGAAAATCTGGAAAAAAGTCAAATATTTTTTGAATCATTTTTCATTACTAGGCATATTTTAATGAATCACTATCTATTTTTTGTTTGAAAACATTATGTATTTTTTTTTATAGAAATATTTTTCCTCGAAAATAACATGTCAGTTATCAAATCAATTATGTGCAAATTGCAAATTTTGAGCTGATCAATTTTTCCGGAGAAAATTTAATTTAATTTCTCATACTTAATTAATCATGATCCAAAAATATCTCAATCTTCTATGTCGCTCCAGTCCGTGAAAGTTTTGCGCATTCATTTTATTTCTTCTCATTGGCGCATGTTCCCGGACTTTCCCATTTATTTTTGTGACGACTTTTTGGGTTCCGGAAGGTGAAATCGAACTATTTTTTCCCGAACTTCAATTTCATTCGTAAGAAATCGAACCGCTGATTTTTTTCCGACAATTTTTATTTCTGTCGATTCATTAAAAGTGGAAATCGAAACAAATCGTTTTCCTTTTTCCTTTTATCTTTCATATTTGTTTGGAATATTCGAGCTAGGTTATTTTGAGAAATTAAATAATATCGGTGTCTCGAGTGATAAGGCATTTTTCCAAGAATTTTCCATAATACACTGACAATTGTTCTTGATTACTCGTGTACAGATTTTACAATAAATCGATGACACATTGAGACTGAGGCTTGACTGATATCAAGTTTTATCAGGATACTTCCGCGTGGGGACCACACACGAGTCTTCTATGGCTTCGACATCAATTTTTTTTACTTCGTGTTGCCTCTCCTTCGGAGAATTTTATTGACTCGGCCGTTGAACGGATTATCGGTGAGACTCTTATCATACTGTATGAACAGCTCGTGATGCACATTCTCTCACGAGTACATCATTATTATAATGAATCCACGTGAAATGATGATAATAAAATTTATGTAACGGGAAACAGAAAATGAAAAATTATTTTTACCTTCTTTCCTACAATTCCTGTTCCAATTTTCATATAAATGATTATAAATAAATGATTTGCTCATATTCTAATTCCTATGCTCACTGAATAAGATTTTAATCATAATTGCAATTCAATTCCTTCTAGAACACACTTTAGAGTGTGAATTTCTGGAATTCAATGTTTGTTGATACTCTGGTAAAAGTGCGTGCCCACACTGTTATCAATTTTTAGTTAGTTCACGCGGTAATTCAATTAATCTGTTGTTCATCCCATCAATATAATTCTGTGCTTAGAATATTGTCATCTCATGTTTTCAGCACCAAATTAAAAATTAAAACTTCATTTGAAATATTGAGTCACAGCTTCTTTTAATTCATATCAGAAATTTTGTATTTGGATATTAATATTATTTGTTCAAAGTGAAAAAATCGATCATCATGTTCACTATATTGCATTCAGATTCTCCTATCCTTAACGCCAAAAATGTGAGATAATCTCATAATTCTAGCTATTAATTCTAATCAACTTTGTTCGAAGAAAACCTCAGTAACCGCAATCTTAAGAAAGTAAAATTATTCTATTTTCGTCTGGCCTAAATGATTTGGACAATTATGATTCGTTTATTCATGTTTCATAGAGTGGTATTCAATTCTCTTTTCACTCATGAGAACTGCCTTCCTTTCCCCATTCGTTCGAGATTCCCATGTTTTTTCTTCACAAAGGACACGTTCTCCGCAGTAAAAAGCCCCAAAATTCGCTGAATTATCTCCTCAATTTCGTTATCACTGGCTCCAACGATTACAGCTCCGCGCCTGACAGCCACAGCTATCCGCCTCCCCCCCCACCACGTTTCCACCGCGTGCCAGAGCAGGCGGCCCGTCGGGAGGATCGAACAGGGCCGCGCTCTCTATATGCGCACCGCAACCTGCCGGACAACGACACAGCGTACCATCGACACTGAAAATCAGCTCAACCCCAACTCACAAGAACAGACTCCGCAAATACATCTGCCTCTATTAATAGCCATCAACCCCACCCCCAGTGCAAGTGGTTGCTCCGTTCTGCCCCGCTACGCAACCCCCAGTGATAACGATTCCACAACTGATCGAATTCGTGGAAAGGTGAAATACAAAAGGCTGTTTAAAAATTCAAATTTGAATTTTTTCATACCCCCAGCGAGTCAACGGCCTCGTCGCACGTGGAGGGACAAATAGTGCGCGTGTGAATGCAGAAATTTACAATAAAGTGACAAAAATAATTTAAAAAATAATACATTAAAAGGTTCGAATTTGTCCTCAATCAGTAAATCGAGAGGGATTGCAATAAAAAAAACAGGTTGCAGCAAAACAAATTAATGTGATATTTTTGGTTTTTCTCTCGTTTTGCTCAGTGTCTCGACGAATAATTTTCCCCGAAAATTCTCTCGCATCGATAAATCGCCAGTGTAGACTGGCTGAAGCCATCGGCAAATTATTTCTGGATAAATCTGCGAAAGGAGGATGAAAAAAATAAACTCGCGAGTCTGGGGTTTATTTTCATCGTGAGGAGACGGTGTTGCAGGCTCACTCTCTCGTGGCCTTCCATAGTAACACGAGTGTGTGACACGCAAACGCACTGGACCCTCGTTGCGTGACTGCAAAATTCTTGCGTGTCGTTTTTTCGCGAGTTTAAAGTGTTTGGAGGGGAATAATACCGAGTTTTATATTCGCAAGACAAATAGTAATTAAAAAACAGTTAAACTTGGATAACAATTACATTAGAAATCAATTTTTTGGATAATTAAAAAATCGTTAAACAACAGTAAGTGTTAAAAAAAAATTTCATCTTCAGTTGGAGTGAACGGAGGATAAAAATTATTTTTTATAGAAAAATTAATCAGAGTTGTGGCTCTTCGGCGTCTGGACGAATAACATTATTTTGTAATTACTGAGTGGTGTTGAGGTGCATCGGCTTGGATTTTGAAAGACGGAATTGAATTGAAATTCGGAGTCGATTGTAATTGAATGCTGCGAGATGATGGAGACACAGAACTACTGGGACGAGAGCTCCGCGCACTCAATGCAGGTCAAGTACGAGAGGTGAGTTGAGATTTTTTTGACAATTTTTTTCTGTATTTTTTTCTGGTTAATTTTTAATGAATTTCGGGTTCAAAGGATCCGCTCGAGGACACGAATTGCTGTGCCGCGAGGCGCAGACACGCTCGATGTCGGGGCGAGAGGGGAGGGGAAGTTCCTCGAGGTCACCGGACTCGAGAGTCTTCGCTTTCGGATGAAATCGTCCTTCGATGGACTGACGCGAAACGTATTATTTATTTAGTTGGGTTATTTATTCGTCCCCGGGTGTTTGGGACGAGTGGAAAATTTGTGGATTTTTTTGGGGTGAGAGTTTCGCTGGAAGGCGTCGGTTTAGGGGAAAATGGTGGAGGATATTTCATACGGAGAATTTTGGAAATTGTAAAAATGGTTTAGGCATATTTTTCTCTTAATGCATTGGCTCTTGAGATATTTCGGAAGTTAAATTTAAATTTCCCTTGAATTGAAATTGTTTGAACATTTTATTAAGTTTGTTTCTCTGGTATTTTAGAAATGAGGGGAAAAGTCAGGAATTATTTTTTGTGGGGGATTTCGGGTCCCACAAAACAAGTCTTTCGATATTTTTATTCAAATTCACTAGTTTTTAAGATACTGCGGAAGATGAAGACGAAAACTTTCGCAGAATTTCAGTCGTTAAGGAATTTCATAAAAATTGTCTTGTGAATATTTCTGGAACGAGGGGAAAGCGGAAGAAATATTTTTTGTAGAGAATTTGGGGAATTTAAATTCATTATTATGAAAATCCTTGAAAATCACAGCAAATTTTGAAACATTCCGCAAAATTTATTTTTCGGAATCCACAAAGATACAATATTCATTAAAAACCCTTCTTGCACTCTTTTCAATCGTCGATTCACCGCGATAATGAGAAAAATGTCTGAGAAAAATGTTCTCTGCAAAAAAATTCTGACATTTATTCGTAAAACCACTCATCCTTGACATATTTATTTAAAAAATTGTTCTGCGAAATAAAAAAAATCGTAAAAGTCTCATTTATAAATGAGTATTTTACGATTTTTTTAAATTGGCTCATGATGAGGAATACATTCATCGTTGATCTAATTACGCACAATTAACAGAAGTACAATTTTATGGTGAGATTGAGGTGTCACCTGCACTGAGAGTAAAAATTGGTTCGGCCGAAAAATTATTACTAAAAAATTTCCTCACTTATTCCCAGAATCCCGCATCCACCGGATATTAAAAAAAAGGAAAATTTGTTCTGCGAAATAAAATCGAAAAAAAATTTAAAAATTCTCATTTATTCCTCATCATGAGCTGACTAATTACACACAATTAACAGAAGTACGATTTTATGGTACGACTCAGGTGTTGTCTATTTTAACCGCGTAGAATCTAAAAAAAAATATCATAAAACCAAGACACTACTGTTAAAATATGAGTCAGGGCATTTCGAGTAAACGAGGTAAAAAATTCACGGAGATATCTGCGAGTTATATACACACAAGTGAATATTTAATGGGCACCTCTGAATTATCACGGGCTGGAGAGGCAAAAAGACGAGGCGATAGTGAATTTTTAGACATTTCAAAACGTCTGCCCGCGACTCCACGGATTTCAAAAGGGCGATTAAACAAAAAAGTCCATTGTATGCAGGAAAACTGGCGGCGAAAGAATTCATGGCCACAAGTGGTCCGATAAGATATTGTATTGGTCGAAGGACGAAAAAAAATACGGGAAAGTAGATAAATTCCGTACGTGATCAGACTCGCGCAGAAGACAATGGAAAAAACGTGATTTTGAAGGGATTCGCGAAGGAGAAAAGTTTCTAGTTTTGAGAACAATGTTGCGGATTTTAGAAAACTCGTCGGTCTAATATGAGTCCTTAGAATAATAAACTGTTTATTCAATAATTAAATAAGTAAATATGAATGCGTGCACTATTACGTAATTTGTATTTTTCTTTTGATTATTAGAAGAGAAAATAATTCTTTGTTAGCATTCCCCTATTGTAAACAAGTGGCATTTTTTTAATAAATGATTATAGTTACTATTGCTCATAATAGTGTCAATGAATAGAATTGATCCCTTATAAAAAAAATTACAAACTTAAATTTCAACGATTACAAAGCTTTCATGCGGAACCAAAAAATTGTTAATTAGAATTGTTAAAACTCATGTTGTCATGCTGTTGAAAAAATTTGTTTTGGGTGGACTATTGATTGTTCATAAATTATTCTTAAAAAAATATGACAATTATCTTGGCTTTCCAATTTTTAAAATACGATTTTCAAAATGTTTCCTGACTGTTTGCTGATTCTTGGATTTGATTAGTTAATTCTATATTATCCAAGTTGCACTCATTTATCTTGAATTATTTATGAACAGGAAAAAACGAATTGATGCTCCATTTTTCTCTATCGTATTTATCATTTAATCGAGCTAGCACTGGAGCTCATGTTACACGTGATATTTGTCTCGAGTGTCACATCGATTGTCAATAGCCATCACATGACAGTCTCACCACTAGAGTCAAGTGACGTTACCTCACTAGTAAAAAAGAGAAATTGAGTTTCGATGATAATGCACTACTTTTAAGTTCATCGACTGATACGTGTGGAGGAAAATAAGCTGACCTCGGGGGACTATCTGATTGGGGTCCACTTGAAGATGGGAAAATTTTTCATTGATTTTTTTATCGTTCCATTGAAAGGGTGGAGTGTAATTAATCAAACGTTTCACGGGTCCAATTAATTAACGCTTATAATTAATTGTAGGAGGTAATAAAAAGACATTTTTCAATTAAAAGGCAATTTTGCAGTGAATTTTAGTCAACTAGTGAAAGGGGCATGCATCAAAACATTTTCATGTTCAATTTCAACAATAGACAATAATTAATTTGTGCGTAAAATTTCCCTTTACGTCCAAGTGCTGGAAATAAAATTACGGAAAAAAATAGAAATTTGCAAAAAAAATTAATTTTCGCCTCGAAAAATAAATTGCTCCTGTTTCTTTACCCTCAATTCTCGGGCGAGATACAATAACATCGTACATATTTAGGCTCGAGGTCGCTGTACCTGCAAAAAACTCCGTTAAGTCGTTTCTCTCCGATAGCTAGAGGAAAAAAATATAAGTCAACTTTTCATTCTTCTCTTTCGCACTCCACACGGTCACGGACCATTGACACCAGATTCGATCGAGCTGAATTTATTCCCGTTGGTACGTAAATACAAATGTATACCACGTAGCCGCCTCTACCCCCGCTATATTTACCGCACGTATTTCAGTCTCCCTCGCACGTTTTTACTTGGAAATCGATATCTTCGAACCTTGCGATTACGGAGTCCCTGAGTGCGTTTTCCCCGAAGACTTCGACTGTTTTTTAAATTTTTGAATCAATCAATCATCATCGTTTATTGAAAAAGAACGAGGAAGGAGATTAGGGAATCCGAGGCCTCACTGCGTGCAGCAGATTACCTCAAGCCGGTCTGAGTGCCCCCGCCGGTGATTCATTCCGATCGATAAACGTCCATTTATGGATTGCTCGTTGAATTTTCGTAATGGTAGATGATGATCTTCAGGAAGCTATCGGGGAAATTTGGAGTTCCATAATTATCTTCTTCCTAAATCGAATTTAATGTCACCTTCCTCAAAACTACGAGATACGGCCACGAATTTTTTATTTTTACTGATAGCGGATTTGAATAAACACATTCGTCAGAAAATACTTTGTGGGCCTAATGATGAAGTTTACCATGACTGTCAAATTAACGTTTCATTTATTGAAATAACTGTGAAGTAAAGAAGTGAATTGCATTAGAAAACGAAGTAAAATGGATCGACACGAATTTTTCCGGAGAATTTCCCCGCTCTTCGAGGCACCCCTCCCACCCCCACTACGGGAAACTATAAAAAACCTCATGAATAATAATACTCCGCTCCGCTATTGATGATTGCTGCTTCAGGAGTTGAGTAATCGGCCAAGTTTATTACAGCATTCGTTAAATGGTCTCATAAAAATATTTCGGTGAGAAGTACGTGACCTTGCGAGCAAAACCCGTCTCCCGGGTTGATTGGAATTCCGCATTCCTCGATTCCCCGAGCGATTCTACTCTCTCATTTCTCATTTTCTTGCTGCATGCGACAACGCCCTGAGCACATACGACTCTTCGGTTGTTTCCATGTCGCTTCGATCCGCGGGAGAAACGCCGGGGCTCGCGCGCTCAGTGACGCAAGTGGGGGAGACCACGTGCGTCATGGAAAGCCATGAATTTTGCAGTGGACTGTGACATGTCACAAGTCGTCGGGAACATTTTTGGAGTCATGCGTTAAATGTCACAAGATCATTCCTGGAGAGGATTTAATTCTTTAGATAACATCTGTTCTGGCATTTTTTTTCTAAAATTAGTCGTCAGCGAAATAATTTCTGATAAGGATATCCAAGTACTTTGGCTATTTTTTCTCCGGTGAAATGCTTTTCTACTGTACTCCTTTTAGGAGAAAACGCTAAAATAGTTTCGTCACAAGGACGTAAGTCACTCGGCTTCGCCTCGGCAGCGCCACCTGCTCATAAAGGCTCACCAGTTGTGAGGGGCACCAGAGGGGCGAAGCCCCCCCCCCCCGCAGAAAGAAAACCAAACAGCAAAATAAGAAAAAACATATCAAGATGAACAAGGAAATTGAAGAAGGAAATTTTTATTTCAAATAGATTGTTTTCAACAATAAAATGCAAACGACAGAATACTTTGTGAAAACACAAAATGTGATGAAATGAAAATGAAACACACAATGTGATGAAAAAATTTGTTCATCACATTCTGCTAAAACGTGAAAATTCTGTTGATTTTGAAATTATCTCAAGAAGGAGTCCTGCGGGCACGAAATGCCATTCGACATTTTTTGTAGGAAATCGAATTATCTAGAAAAATGTTCTTTTGACATTTTCTCCTGAAATCACTCAGTACCGAAATAATTAACTCCAATTAAGACTTGAAAATTTGATTCTAAAACCTTCGAATCTCAAA